GCTTGAGAAAGTGATGACTTTTTAACCTGCGTGCGCCTCAGCTGACAGAGTAGATGTTTATATCTGGCTCTCTCCATCATACACTCCATCTGTACTTTTATCTCCTGCTTTTGTATCATTCTCGCACATGCTGTCCCAAGCTCTATCTTTCTCTCTCTCTCCCTCAATACCTGTCTGATGGGCACAGCATTCGATCCCGCCACAGAAATCTGTCGGCTTTGAGAAAGCTGATGGCCAATCTCATCACCGTGGCAACATGGCAAGGCAACACTAGCTCTGTCTGCCTCATTCAAAGAGAAAAGGTGGGAAAGAGGACATGGAATGAAATGAGAGACCACGAGTAATAGGATCAACTTATCAACTTCCACACCTGTCCCAGTGTAGCCCTCAAAGCACAGCTCATTAGATCCCAACGGCCCTTTTCCTCGCTCAGGGCCGGGATATTAAGCTGAACCCTCGGTGAACTGAGAGAACCATGCTTTCCCCAGACAGCTTAAGACTGAGTTTGTAATATGACCATGGCATACTGTGACACAAATTGTTTGGATACTGAATGACCCCCAGTGGGCCCCCCGATGCAGCTGCGCGACAGGGCTCACAACATGCACGAAGGATGCTGCCGAGTTTGGCTTGGATTGCGATTACGTTTTAAAAGAAACAGTTCAATAAGACATTTCACAATCAGAGCTATGAAATGAAAATCATACATGTTGTAATTTTTAATAGATTATACTTATCTGTAATATATACTCGCACACACATACAGTATATATATATATATATATATATATATATATATATATATATATATACAAACATATATATACACTCACCGGCCACTTTATTAGGTACCCCATGCTAGTAACGGGTTGGACCCCCTTTTGCCTTCAGAACTGCCTCAATTCTTCGTGGCATAGATTCAACAAGGTGCTGGAAGCATTCCTCAGGGAGTTTGGTCCATATTGACATGATGGCATCACACAGTTGCCGCAGATTTGTCGGCTGCACATCCATGATGTGAATCTCCCGTTCCACCACATCCCAAAGATGCTCTATTGGGTTGAGATCTGGTGACTGTGGAGGCCATTTTAGTACAGTGAACTCATTGTCATGTTCAAGAAACCAATTTGAAATGATTAGAGCTTTGTGACATGGTGGAAGTAGCCATCAGAGGATGGGTACATGGTGGCCATAAAGGGATGGACATGGTCAGAAACAATGCTCAGGTAGGCCGTGGCATTTAAACGATGCCCAATTGGCACTAAGGGGCCTAAAGTGTGCCAGGAAAACATCCCCCACACCATTACACCACCACCACCGGCCTGCACAGTGGTAACAAGGCATGATGGTTCCATGTTCTCATTCTGTTTACGCCAAATTCTGACTCTAACATCTGAATGTCTCAACAGAAATCGAGACTCATCAGACCAGGCAACATTTTTCCAGTCTTCAACTGTTCAATTTTGGTGAGCTCTTGCAAATTGTAGCCTCTTTTTCCTATTTGTAGTGGAGATGAGTGGTACCCGGTGGAGTCTTCTGCTGTTGTAGCCCATCCGCCTCAAGGTTGTGCGTGTCGTGGCTTCACAAATGCTTTGCTGCATACCTCGGTTGTAACGAGTGGTTATTTCAGTCACTGTTGCCCTTCTATCAGCTCGAACCAGTCTGGCCATTCTCCTCTGACCTCTGGCATCAACAAGGCATTTCCGCCCACAGAACTGCCGCTCACTGGACGTTTTTTCTTTTTCGGACCATTCTCTGTAAACCCTAGAGATGGTTGTGCGTGAAAATCCCAGTAGATTAGCAGTTTCTGAAATACTCAGACCAGCCCTTCTGGCACCAACAATCATGCCACGTTCAAAGTCACTCAAATCAACTTTCTTCCCCATACTGATGCTCGGTTTGAACTGCAGGAGATTGTCTTGACCATGTCTACATGCCTAAATGCACTGAGTTGCCGCCATGTGATTGGCTGCTTAGAAATTAAGTGTTAACGAGCAGTTGGACAGGTGTACCTAATAAAGTGGCCGGTGAGTATATATATATATATATATATATATATATATATATATATATATATATATATATATATATATATATATATATATATTACCATTTATTAATATTTTAACACCATTTATTGGTTATCAGCCATAAGAAAATGCTGGCCGATATTGGTATATCTCTATTATTGTACTTGCCTAGATTGTTTAAATATTTGCTATATTTGTTTTCTCTGTTCAGTTTTCTTCTTGTTTATTGTCATGTACAACTATTTTAAGAGAATGTTATTATGTAAAGTTGCACATATTTGTGTTCACAAGGTTGCACGTATTTGTGTTCACAAACTCGCATAAAGTATGTTTCTGGCCTCGGAAGACATGTTATGTCAACCAAATAAAAAAAATTTCCCCTGTCTTCCACATGTAAAGGGAGTTAATTTAATGCCGTCACAAACCACCGAAAGACCCATAATTTCTCCTCATCCGACTGAGAGGAGGGAAATGACAGCAACATTTATAATTCGGCCCACTGTAATTTTTCGCTGTCAGGCGAATCCCCAGAAGTGCAAAGTTCTTTTTAATCAAATTATTTGATGAAAGCTGAAGGCAAATTGAGCGGTTCTTTTACAATTAATTATCAAAAGACTGGCACACAACACGAGGCTTGTTATAGATTGAACTCCCGTTTGAATATTGATTGACTTTTTTTTTTCTTTTTTCACGGCAAGATGTTTCGCCTCTATCACTCGCAAACACACACAATCACAGACACTAAATTATTCAGCAGTTCCTTTTGGCACATTTTAAGTTTGATTTCTCTTTTAATTACTTTGCTGTCTTTGATTTATCATCATGTTTGCACGGCAAGTTCCCTGCTTGGCTCCATAGGCTTGACTAGAGGTTCAGGTTCAGGCCAAATAGTAAGATCCATGCTAAACTTCCTCTGTTCTGGGTCACGTTTCGACATAGCTCCCCTCCCATGTCCATATGGCAGCGGTATCGATCGGAGGCAGAGTGCAATGTCAAATCTGTTTCTTCCTCTACTGAGGTTTTTGCGCTGGTGATTTGCATGCAAAGGGCATCGAAGCAGTTATGGATTTTAAGGCAAAACAAAACTGATGGATTTGTAATAGATCTACAGATCTCATGATTTCATTATAAATTTTTGTATAACAAGAATATGAATTTTAAGAAGCAGATCAAGTTCTGTTTGTACTTATTTAATAAAAAAAAAACACGGAGCAAAGAGGACCCGGGCAATGCACTGACAGACAAGACAGAGCAGGATACTTTCGATATGAAACAAATATTTAAGTTGTATTATGAAATGCAAATAATAATAATAATTTGTTACATTTATATAGTGCTTTTCTGGGAACTCAAAGCGTTCTACATATGGTACGCTGTGCGACGGCAGCCATATTGAATGAATGAATGAAGTATACATTAAAAATAATGTGGCGTGGAAGTTCACTGTAGCGCCTCAGTTTAAGCGAAGCGGTAGCGCACGTGATGATCTCTTTCCTCTACTACTAGTTACAGTACAAAATAAACATGAATTAACATCAGAGGGTATGTTGAAAGAATCAGCAAAACTTACTGAAATGCACATGTCTCATGTAATTGTTAAATCAGTGTTTCAACTGCGGATAAAACAGCTTGTAAACAATGTGGAAAAACCTCAGAAAAGCCATTCATTGTCCATATACGGTATAGTTAGCAAGAAAAAATGTAATCTAGAGAGGAGCATTTTTAAAACAATATGCACTATATTACATATTCATTCTATTTTTACTCTAATACCATTCAATTTATTATGATAACTTTATTATAATAAAATTCATACAAATCAGTTACTAATTAACCTCCCCCCTCACCCCCAATTCTCACTCCAAGCTGAACTCAAAAGTTGTCAGTCCTGTCTTTTTGTACCCTGTGTCCCGTTATTGCCGTCCTCCTGCGGTGAAATGCTCAGCAGCTCTGTTCTGTCAGTAGCCTCAGGGGGGTTTGGAGCTTCGTCTCCCCTCACTCTCTGTCCTGCGCTACCAGGAAAGGAAAGTGAGGGAATGCATATAAATCTGTCTTTTTCTTCCTCCAGTAAAGAGAGAGGGATTACAAATGCCTTATTTTGATTTCTTCTCCAGCTTAGACAGCTGATGGAGTAGTGATGGTAGGGTGTGTGAGAGAGAGGAAAAGCCCTGCTTGCACAGATATGCAGTATTCTTAATGTGACTTTGAGAGTCCCACGGAGGGATTGAATGACAGCCAGTCGATAGGGGAGTGATGCGTCTGGCTGACCAGCAATATCAGTGCAAGTCGGCGAGAGAGACAGCAAATAGAAGACAAAATGATATAAGGGAGACAGAAGACAAAAATTGGAATGAAAATTGGGGGGTTGTAGTTAGATTATTTTATTTACTTATTCATGCATATGTGTGTATATATATATATATATATATATATATATATATATATATATACATATATATATTCTGGTTTTTATTGATATATATTTATTTTATATATTATCGTTTTTGCTTATATTTACTAATAAAATATAAACTTGTATTAATTTATTCCTGCATTTATTCTTTTTAAAATGAATGTATGTGTTCTTTTTTATTATTGTTTATAACTAATTTATTTTTAATAAATTGATTTACATTTTTCAAAGGGAGTATGTTCCCAGATGACATTAAAGCGAGGTTTTGACAGCTTTAGCTCACCTCTGGTGACTCTTGTGTCCTCGAACTATAGCCAAGTGCAGACACACACACACACACACACAGAGCACTCAGCGTATAACTAATTACCAGCTGAGGTAGAATAAGAGAGAGAGAGGGCCAAGCCAGAGCGCCTGATCACAGTCATTTAGATGAGAGAGGGGTATGGCAGTGGCTGGCCTGCTTTGCTCTTGTAACCCTCTCATCTCCTGTCTCTGCTCCTCCTCTCCCACCTCCCCCAATAACCCTCCTTCTCATCCCTACTTTTGCTCCACAGATGAGTTTAAGGGCACGAGTACCGTGGAGCTGATCAAGAAGGAAGGCACCACCCTGGGTCTGACAGTATCCGGAGGCATCGACAAAGACGGCAAGCCCAGAGTCTCCAACCTGCGCCAGGGCGGCATCGCTGCCAGGTCAGTATTAGCGAGCCATTTGTGGATTCATTTTACAAAACACTCCACCACTTTCAAAACATTGCTGTGTTTTTAAGATGTCCGACATATCAGACTCAGAAGTTGGGAAACATCTTTGGATACAGTCGTTGGTGCTTGCTAAGACTGTTGTTGGTGATAGGGTTAGGACTTGAAGAAACCCATAAGCATAAAGTATTTGGTGCCTAACTCATGAATGACACTCTAGAAACTTGCTATTCTGCTTAAAATGTTCAGGAAAAAATGATTCCTTAGACTTACATTGAAAGAGGAACTCAAGCCATCTAGAGACCAGAGTATCATATATTTTGAGTGGACTTCTCTAAGGCATCTTGTCACTACCCAAAATACCCTAGCAACCACCCAGAACACACTAGCAACATAGCACTTAACATTTAGAGTAACCTAGCATCTGCATACTGTAATCGCCCACATTAGCATCACAGCAGCATCATTGTGACTAGTTTTGTACAGCTAGCATTCACATATTCTTTAGAAAATGTAAGAAATGACTCAATTAAGTTTTGTAGATGCTAAAGGTGTGGAAATTCACTTTCAAGGCTTTGTGTTGTCAGGTTTTTGTTGTCTTTTGGTCTTTATGCTAATGATTTTTTGCTAAGACAGCAACTATAGACAGGCCCTGAGAGATCAATGTGTTCATAGTCTGTTGTGCTGGAGCATTGTCTAGAAAGTGTGTGTGCATATTGTTTTATCTGTACACACTGTGCGTATGTGTGTCTGTATGAATAAGGTAGACAGAATCTTTTAATCAATACTGCATAAGCCAGAACTCTTCTCTCATTTCCATATTGGCTCTCAGGGATGGCAGACGGCCTACTGTTCACTAGCGTATCAGACCTCCCCATAAACACACACACACACACACAATCCTCAAAGAAGAGAACCATATTCAGATCCCACAACAAACACTGCACATGCTATATAGTAAAACGCAGGTTTTAAACCCTCTTCTTCACTGTCACAGATACTTTTTTCTGCAAATCAATTGTTCAGCTTTAAATGTTTCCCTGCACATCAAGTCTTGTATCTTATTACCACAGAGACACTTGCCCTGATAATTTTACTCGAGCTGTTGACAATCAGACCGCCTTGTAAAACGCAAGAGCTTTCAACTCTGTGTATGTGTGTCAGTGAAAGATCGAGACGGAGACAGCCTGTCTTGATCTTACTAGATGCTTCCTTAGAACAAAGTGTTCCCTCTTTATGTGCTTAAAGGTGCCCTAGAATGTTTTTTTTATTATTATTTTATAATGTTTCCTGGGTTACCCTTATAATGTTAGTATGTTTTTTAGATCAAAAATAGTCATAATTTAGAAATAAAAGGCATTTTTCCTAGCCTGATTTTAGCCTCTGATTTGAACACTCTGTTTGAAGGGGCGTGTCTGCTGTGGGATTCAGTGTAACCGCAGCCACTGCTGTGATTGGCTGACATGCTTGCATATGAAATAGCTATGTATTACATGTGAAACTCTCTCGAATAATTTTACTACAGCTATTATACGTTTTTACTATTACAGCTATCGAGATTAACGAAACGTGAGATGTTTTTAAAGTATTTAGATCTATTCCCATCACATAAAATGTTGCCGTGATGAGCATTGAGCAGATGACAGTCTGTTGATCGCGAGAATTAAGATCTTATCTTTGCAACGCAGTTTCTGCACTCTCTCTAATGCTTTCACCAATGCAAACACGATCATGTAAATACAGTAAGAGCTTCGTTGTGCAGTGTAACATGCGTCATTGAATTCATTACGAGTTTGGCAAGTGTCCAGATAAACTCGCGCTGTTGAAAGATTGTTCTTTGATCGCTTTCTGTATATAATTTATTCACAATTTAAATACGTTTTTTTTCATCCTACTCAAAGAAACGATGTGAAGTTGATATTTTAGTCACTGGCTTGACTTACTGATGCATAAACAGTATTGAACGATTTTGAGAGAAAGATTCCCTGTCTGAACTTGAACAATTACACATCAGAAAGTGTTGCTTGGTAGCTCGATCCGAGGCCAGCTCTGTATTGGCCCAAGTTGAGGAAACAGTCGTCAGTGAAATGTTTGGAAATTTCCAGAGAAATTAAAATGAACCCATTGTTTCTTCAGAGGCTCGGATGAAGGAACTAAAAAATACTTGTGTGTTCATGTGTACATCCAAACACTGAGCAACTGCTATGCTTCGGCTGCGCAGTTCCGCCTGGCATTGAACATGGGCTGGCATATGCAAATTCTTGGAGTCATACATATTAATGATCCCGACTGTTGCGTCACAGTCGATGATATGTGGAGATTCGCCTATTTTTCAGGGGTGTTTTTCAAAAACGAGATTTAAGTAAGGAGAAAACAATGGTGTTTGAGACTCACTGTATGTCATGTCCATGTACTGAACTCTTGTTATTTAACTATGCCAACATAAATTCAATTTTACATTCTAGGGCACCTTTAAATCAGCTATCACAGCATCTCAGAGCTCGACCGGACTCCTCCTTCTTTATTTCTTCTCTTTCTTTGTTTCCTCTTCCCCTGCCTGTTCTTTCTTCCATCATTCGGTTGTGCAATTTCCTGTTTTTTTGCAGGAGTGACCAGTTGAACGTAGGGGACTACATAAAATCTGTAAACGGAATCAACTTGACAAAGTTTCGTCATGATGAGATCATCAGTCTGCTGAAGAATGTGGGTGAAAGGGTTGTCCTGGAGGTCGAGTATGAGCTACCGCCTGTCTGTGAGTGAGATTATAAACTTCGTAAATAAACGCTATTACTTAATATAGCACAGCTGGAATACTTCATTCTGACTGGTTCATCGCAGCATTTTGCAATATATAATTTTTCATAATAAACACTAAACTGTGTAACTTAATATTGTTCCAGGCAACAGATTTCCTATACATGTGATCTTTTCATGTATATTTCAGAAGTGATAAATATTAATGCCTCATATAACATAATCAGGGCTATACAGTTACACCTTCTAACCCGCCAAATGCGGGTGGATTTCAGCAGTGGCGTCTAACGCAGTCACTCTTACTAGCCACATTGGCGGGTTAAATTTTATATATAATATATCAATTTTTCAATTGTAGTCTTTTAAAGAGGCATCTGAAATAATAAACTAGGTGCAATGTAGTGTTGTCAAAAATCAAAATTTTTCAATACATACAGTATCAATACTGAAATATCTGAAACGCTTCCAGTACTCATTTCCCGCAGAATAGATACACGACACGCTGCAATTTCTCGCTGTGTTTTTCATCTATCCGACAGCGAGTTGACACACTAACCCGCCTCCCCTCACACTCGTTTCATTTGCTCCGGATGAATTTGCTCCGGTTGGTGTGTTACAAGGCTTGAATTTCACCGTGGGATTGCGCGTATTGTATCATTCCCGCAGATTTTGTGCTCACACCCAAAGTGCGCGCACACAAAGCCACCTCTCAGTACTAAATTGAGTTCTTTTTCACTGCTTATTGCGCTTAAACAGTCAAATACACACAAAATAATGTCCAAAATCCTGTCTTGGTCAGTATTCTCGTAAATGCAGTAAGTTAAGTTTTTAATGTAAATTGTCTAATATACCTGCTGCCAAATTATGATAAGATAATACTAAAAAAGGTGTATAAGGCATATATTTTTCCCCATTGTATCGATGTCAAAATTAGCCAATAATTGAATATATTATTACATTTTTTTATGTAATATAATCTGAAAATTCTAAATAGTGACGGATTATTTTTGCTTAACTGATGAGTGATTAACCACCATCAATCTGCCATTGATTCGTTAAAATTAGTTTTATAACGGCAATCTTAGACTGAGTTACGTCACTCTCAGTGACTTGAAATGTGTTTTAGTTTGTTCATTTTTATGTTCTGATCAAGCATTTAAGTCTTGGCAGAACTTTGAACTGTTCATTTTCTTCCTCAGCTGTACAGGGCTCAGGGGTCATGTTCAAAAATGTGGAGGTGACGTTGCACAAAGAAGGCAATACTTTCGGTTTCGTCATCAGAGGTGAGTGCCTCTGTAGACTTCCTCACATCCGAGTTCAAATGTCTTTGAGTCCACCTCATCAACACACTTTCAATCACATCTACATCAAACAAAAAGAGACTATTTTTCTCTAAAGATTTGTTTCGCTGCCCTTGGGCCCGCTGAAAGAAGACGAAGCAGCTTTCAGTCGCACTTCTAATGCTCATTTTCCAAAATATTTACAGAGCAGACTTCATTAAAAGAAAGAGACCATTTTTTAGATCCATCTAGAGTATGAAGTCTTTTGAAGAGAGACAGAAAAAAAAGGTTTCCTGTCAAGGTCTTGGTTAGCTTTACTCCTTTTCTCAAATCTGTCTCATAGAGGCATATTGAGGACTTCCTTTTCATCTTCAAGACTCCATTTGTGAATTCAATGGTATGCAATTTTATTGCGAGCAGCACGGCTTTAAAAATGTATAATCTGGTGCTTTTGTAGAAAAATATATGGACATTTCAGTGAGGTGAGCAATGGCCTTTGATGTTATTTAAGTTTATCAAATGTGAGTATACATCTTCACAAGTGTAAATGTACAGTGTTTTACTCTATGGCTACATTTGTTTAATGTGTCAAAACAAGTTTTTTTTTTTTCCATGGTGTAGGAGGTGCCCATGAAGACAGGAACAAATCTCGCCCGGTTACCATTACAACCATCAGACCTGGTGGTCCGGCTGACAGGTGAGTTAGTACTGGATCCTGAACTGGATACATCAGCACCAACATTAGCTATGTTTATATCCACCTTTTTTATGCGCATTTCGGAATATTGCATAAAAAAATGCTGGATGGAAATGCCAACTGACTAGAAACACTTCATAGCCAGGACACTATTTGTGCATCATACAAATAGTTGATTCACATACTTGACTCTTGATTTCTATAGGTTTTGGTATTAGCATTTTGCTTATCTAATGCCAGGATACTCTAATAAAATACAATAAGCATAAAAATACACACACATAATTAAGTCAATTGATAGCATAGTCCTTCTTTAAAACCTACTTAAACCTGTGGTAGGCTGGTTTGCTAGTCTCAGATGGTTTAAGCTAGTCTAAGCTGGTTTTATCTGGTGTAAACTGATCTCCAATCTGGTTTAGTTGGGCAGCCCAGCTTGACCAACTAAAAAGTCCTCTAGAGTCGAATAAATAGAATATTTTGATCAGCTTAGTCTGGTTTAAGATGTTTTTTTTTCAGGGTGAACTGTAAATAAGTAAATATAGTAATAATCTTTATATTTAAATCTTAAAATATATTAATTTAGCCTTCCTTCCATCTTCTCCCTGCATAATGGATTTCCTTCCATAAGGATACAAGCGTTGGTTTGACTTTTATCTTTACAGGTTCAGCATAGCTGGACTGTAGTCATTGCTGTGAAATGGCAAGAAATTGCTTGATGAAAATAGTGTTTCCCAGTTGGCGTTCCTTTCGGAACCGGAATAGATTGCCCCGCAACTTCAGCGCTCACTTGAGAATTGTAAATGGACTAGCGTGATATTTCATTCGCTCTGGCATATGAACTGCTCTGTTATTACCGTCATTACACGCCAGCCCGTCTCTCTCTTTCCCCTCAACCCTTATCAATATTCATTTTGCACACTGGTAATTTCATTTCTTACCGACAGAGTATTCCAATTTCTTTTGTTGAGTGGCATGGCTCCTGTTTTTCTGGGTAAATATTGTGTTCTGTTCCTCTGCAATTTGGTATTGACGGGGCTCTGACATCTTGTAGTCACAGAGAATGGCCCCCTTGGACAATAAAAACAGCAAATTTCATTTCGTACGAGTCATAAATCAGGCCTCTTACCAAAACTCGTCTCTTGTGTTGCTCTATGGTATTATTAAAATGCGCTTTGAAACTGTCCTCACATAAAGCTCAATAGTCTGACCTAGCCAGACTTAAACATAAAGAGATTGTACACATCAACTAATCACGGTTTACCTTTGTGTTTACATGCTATTTTTATTTATCTCAAATGAATTGTACTACAATAACAGACCACTGTGTAAAAACTCAATTAATCAGAGTCGCTACTAACATGTGAATGGAAAACACTGAAAAAAAGAATTGAGGAGTGTGAAATTTCTGCCTTTCCAAGACTATTTCACAATTACACTACCATTCAAAAGTTAGGGTTTGTACGATTTTTTTATGTTTTTGAAATAAGTCTTAAGCTCACCATGGCTGCATTTATTTGATTAAAAGTACAGTAAGAGTAGTAACATTGTTAAAATAACTGTTTTTCAATTTTAAAATGTAATTTATTCCTGTGATGGCAAAGCCTCATTGTCATTTGATCATAGAAATCATTCTAATATGCTGATTTGGTGCTCGAGAAGCATTTATGATTATTATGTTGAAAACAGTTATGCTGCTTAATATTTTCGTGGAAACTGTGGTGCATTATTTTTTAGGGTACTTTGAATAGAAAGTTCTAAACCGCATTTATTTGAAATGGAAGTCTTTCGTATTGTCTTTACTGTCACTTTTGATCAATTTAATGCAACCTGGCTGAATCGAAGTATTCATTTCTTATTAAATTTCGCTGACCACAAACTTTTGAATAGTAGTGTAGTTCAGAAAACCATTAACATTCGTCTCATGGATATCTAATCTACTTGCCATTAAGCTATCTTAAATAAACCTGACTTAAGATTTGATACCGCTGACCTGGAAAACTTCAGCAAATCAAGTTATTAATTCTTCCTTATATGCTATCATTGTAGGAGCTATATCTTGTAAACACATCTTTGTTTCCAGGCACACTGATTAAAAAGCATAAAAGTCAGCCAATCAGATTGGCTCCAGATGTATCAGCCTGAACTTGCCAGTTTTGTGTGCATGTGCATCAGATGGTCCAAGAACGCTAGTTACGCATGTAACTGTGGTTCTGTGAATTCTGGATGACCGCCAGAGGCAGTGTAAACACTATGGATTATCGCAGCGCCAGCTAGATAGGTCGAGAGAATATACCAACAAAGTCACGTGGCGTGACGTATGCTGAGCCCTGGAGGGTAAAGCTACAGTAGCTCAGCACTCTACCTCGGTACGCCTTTCTCGCGCATTCCGAGTGACAGAGAACTCTGGCGGTCATCCAGAATTCACAGAACCACAGTTACATGCGTAACTAGCGTTCTGTTTCATTCTTACTGACCGCCAGAGGCAGTGTAAACACTATGGATGACACATACCAACATAGTCATGAGGAATGCCACCCACCTGATGAAATTAAGGCTGCTCCAGAAGAACCGCAGAACTAACGGCATGATGAGCAGCGTTGACCTTATAAAACCGGGCAAACGTGCATGGAGAAGCCCAGGTAGCAGCAGTGCAGATATCCACCAGGGAAACTCCTCTAAAAACAGCCCATGAAGATGAAATGGCCCTAGTGGAATGGCAAGTTAGTCTCCAGGGCAGTGGTCTCCCTGCCGCCTTGTAAGCCAGCGTAATGGTCTCCACTATCCAGTTCGACAACCTCTGTTTCGACACTGGAGCACCTTTCTTCACACCACCATGGCAGACAAATAACTGGTCTGACCGTCTAAATTGAACAGTAGAGTTCACATAACACTTCAAGGCCCGAACAGGACACAAGAGTTGGGCACTTGAATCGGACCCTGAAGAAGTCTGAAAGGAGGCCAGTTCAATATGCTGATTTATGAACTGAGGAAGAAGGACCTTCGGAAGAAAAGAAGGATTGGGTCGTAGAACCACCCTGGAGCCATCCGGTAACCAACGCAAGCACAGTTCACTAACAGACAACGCGTGCAACTCACTGACTCGTTTCGCAGTAGCAATAGCTAACAAAAAAAAAAAAAAAGTCTTCAAGGACAACCATTTAATGTCAACATTTTGCCAGGGCTCAAACTGGGGTGAGCACAGGAATGCAAGTACGAGTGACAAATCCCACACAGGAAAATGAGGATTCCGAGCAGGGTTCAGACGGCGTGGGCCCTTCAGAAAACTGCAGACAAGACGGTGAGAGCCAAGAGAAGAGCCACCAACTGGAACATGATATGCAGAAATTGCAGCAACGTACACTTTCAACGTGGAAGCTGCTTTTCCTTCCTCCAGTAAACGTTGAAGAAAACTTAAGACACGCGGAATGTCGCATGTTGCAGGATCGAGCCCCCGTTCCTTACACCATGCAGAAAAAAGCTTCCAACGGGAAGCATAAATCTGTCGTGTGGAAGAAGCCCTAGCATTAGAGATTGTGTGAATAACAGCAGGGTCACAATGCTCCAGGGAAGGATTTAACCCAATGGCCAGACCCAAAGCTGCAGACGAGCCGGGTCCGGGTGCCAGACACTGGCCTCCAACTGGGAGAGGAGGTCCTTCCTGGGGGGAAGCTTCCATGGATTGCCTGTCAGAAGTCTCAGCAACAAAGGAAACCACGGTCTGGCTGGCCATCGTGGTGCCACGAGTAACACTCTGTGCTTGCACAGGGAGATCCTGTGCAACGTCTCCCATAACAGAGGGGTAGGTGGAAACGCATAAAGCAGGCAGTTCGGCCATTCGTGAGACAGCGCATCCTGGCCCAGGGGGCTCGACACTTCTGTCCTTGCGAACCATAAGCGACAGTGGGTGGTCATCTCTGAAGCAAAAAGATCCACCTCTGCTCTTCCAAATCGTAGCCAGATCTCCTGCACTACATCTGGATGAAGCCTCCATTCTCCTGGATGTACTTGATCCCTGGAAAGAGCATCTGCTGTCTGGTTGCACACTCCTGGAATATGAGCTGCCCTCAGTGAAGCGAGTCGTGGCTGACACCATGTCAGGATCTCGTGAGTCAACCATAGAGACCTGCGGGATCTCGTGCCGCCCTGGTGGTTCAGATGGAACACTGTTGAGGTATTGTCTGACCGAACAAGAACATGGCGGCCTGCCAGAACCGGCATGAAGTACTTTAGAGCCAAGAACACTGCCCTGAGTTCTAGCAGGTTGATATGTTCCGCGGCCTGGATCGGAGTCCAGCGCCCGGAAATACCCCTCCGATTCCACGTTGCCCCCCATCCTGTGAGGGAAGCGTCTGTCGTGACCAACTCCCGACGAGAGGGAACAACACCCAGGGGCACTCCTGCCTTCAGAAACTCTAACTGTCTCCACCGCCTCAACGCACATATGCAACGGTGAGAAATTATAACCAGTTGATGACGATGTCTGGTGGGATCTAGCCGCAAACAGAAACCCGAGTTTAGAACAAAATTAAAGGAAAGATGTGTCTCAATACAAGGTGTCAGTCTGTGGAACAATCTAAATAGTGAAATTAAAACTTCTATATCGTTTTTTGTTTTTAAGAAGAGTGTAAAAACATTACTAATAGGAAAATATAATGCATCTATTTAGCAGGAAAATGTGATATTTGATTTATGACTTTGCATACTGGTGCTGCAAAGTAGACGTGTGTTGTAAGCGTACCTTTTTGGAATTGTAATTTGACTTATGTTGATAAGGGGCAGATATTATAAGTTTATCTTCTTTTTGCTCCTTTTCATTTCTTTTTCAAAAGAATGAAATAAATAAAATATGAATGAATGAAACTGTTGTTCCATAACTGGAGTGGTCTGAGATGGAGTAAACCCAGGGGGATCACAACTGTAGCCGCTGTTAACATCCCTATCAGTCGTAGGACCACCTCGTACTGCAAAGACACACCCGGACAAAAGCGAGCCAAAAGTTGTAGAATGTTTGTCACACGTTCCTGAGACAGGGAGGCAGACTTTAGGCAGGAATTCAGGGTCATTCCTATGAACGTAGTGGTCTGTGATGGAATCAAACGGCTCTTTTTCTTGTTCACAGAAAACCCCAGCTTCTGCACATGTCTCAAGAGCAGTCTGGAGTCTTGTACGGCCTGCTGCTCTGTGGGGGCACAGAGAAGCCAGTCGTCCAAATAAGGAAGAATACGGATACCTCTCATCCAAAGAGGAGACAGAGCTGCGCTCACACACCTTGTGAAGACGCGAGGAGCAAGGCAAAGGCCGAAGGGTAGCACTTTGAACTGGTATGCTTGATTCAGGAAACTGAAACGTAGAAACTTTCTGTGATGTACAGCAATTGGGACGTGAAAGTATGCATCTTTCAGATCGACACTTACAAACCAATCGTCTGCTGTCACAGACCGGAGAACATCGGCTGTGCGCAGCATTCGAAAGGGAAGGACCTTCAGGAACAAATTCAGAAGCCTTAAATCGAGAATTGGGCGGAAACCACCGTCCTTCTTTGGAACAAGAAAATAAGTTGAATAGAACCCGTCTCTCTGAACGAGGGGATGAACTTTTTCTATGGCTCCCTTCTCTAACAGTGAACAGATTTCCAGAGAGAGAGCCACTGCGCGAACCGCGTCTCTGACAATCGTAGGAACAATTCTTGAAAATCTGGGAGGCCGGCGCCGAAACTGTAGAGTATATCCCCTGCTCAGAGTCGCCAACACCCAGGGGTCTGCTGTGTTGGATCTCCAGTACTCCAGTTGCTCTACAGAAAAACGATCGACCGCCGGCCTGACTGTCTCAGGCTTTACGTGTGCGATTTTTAGTGGTCGCGGGGGGGCGCTGACGGGGCCCTCCCGGAAACTGTTGATGAGGTGGGCGAAAAACTCTCGCATCTTCAGGAACACGAGGTCTTTGAGGGGGCTGTGACTGAGGTGTAGCGTGCCGGCGGAAACGCTGCTCCGATGCGGCATAGTGATGTCGGGTCTGAACCGCTGGCATCCTAAAGGTAGGGTTGCGCTGCACCTGTGTCAGCTGACGAGTGGCTTCAGACAGCTTTACCCGCTTTTCCAACAGTTCCGGAACATTTGGACCAAAGATATGCCCGGGAACAAAAGGAAGATCTCTCAAGGTTTTCTTACAGTCCTCCGGCAGTCGTGCTTGGGCAAGCCACACTTGGCGGCGGGCTGCCAGAAGCGTGGCTGTAAGACTACCCAGCTCGCGGGTCACATGGCCTGTCGCCAACAGAGCAGTTTGCAGAAATTGTGAAATAGAGGGATCTGCATTTGCAGGTTCCAGCGTACTGGTGGCAGCAAGAAGTAACTGGCAGATCGTGTTTTCTGCTCGAGTAATGTAGGCAACAGACTCGTATGCCTTTTTTAGCAAGGAATCCGTACGACCGCATTGCGCACTGGGGCATCGCACATTCCCTCGTAGAGCCTCATCAGGAGAGACCACCAAAGCTGCCACAGGCTGCTCTATTTCCGGAGCACGACCCACCCCGATAGAATCTGCTTCAGCCATAGATGCTAGCGTTCGAGCAATCTTTTAGCGCCGCTTAGGTGGACCAGAACCAGTGAGAGCATTTGAGAATTCAGCCACAAAATCCTTACATGGTGGCATGGCAAAAGAAGTTGCAGCTGTGGTCTGTCTGAAAAACACATTAGTTTGTGCAGATTGGACAGGTGACTCATCAAGTCCTAGACGAGCAGCTGCCATTCGAAGCACAGCCAAAGTGTCATCGGAGGAGGACTGGGCTTGTCCAGACGACTGAACTGACCCCCCACTAGAGCCCTCTGCTGCTGGGTAACCAGTGAAAACAGCCTGAGGTGATGGTTGTGTAGCAACATCCATAGGATCCCCATGATCGTGAAAAAAGGAATCTGAAGCACTTGTAGAAAGCACATCAAACTCTGAACGATGAGTGAAACAAGGGGAATCAAGAGACTCTTCCCCAGCTCCCTGGTTTTGAACATTCTCATCCTCCTGTGTCATCCTCACAGGTGTAGCAGATGTGACCGGCTGAAGTGAGTGAAGCAGGCGTTTCAGCTCTGCCATCTCTGAAGAAAGCACCGACACCGTCATAGAAAGTGAACCTTTCTCAACATGTGAATGTTCATCATCTCGCGATTTGGCCTTCTTAGCTGGGAGGGGAGCACCAGCTGCCGCCGACGCCCTGCGCTTCCGAGTGCGCGAAGGGGCTACATCTAACTGCCCTAGTTTCACTGTAGAATTAGGGTCTAACTCGGCAAGACGGAGCCGTCGTTCCGACATAGGCAAAAGGCTGCAGTGCATGCACGGGTCCGTGAGAGCCTCTCGCAGATGTTGAACACCCAAACACGACGGGCAGATGTCATGACCGTCGTCAGGGAGAAGATTATTAGGGCACAGCTTACAAGTCAGTGGAAAACCAGTGGCTATCGAGCTGTGAGCCATAGTTACTCGCTAATAACACCCTCGGATAGTACCGTAAGGTTAAGTTAAGCAGGATGAAAAAATAATAAAAATAAAATAAAACGATTACCTCGGGTGAACCGACAGGTAATACCAACAAAAATTTTATGAAAAAAGATAAGAAGTGTCTAAAATGGCCGGCGGATTGAACCGAGGGACAAAAAGTGTTACATGGATACGAGGAAAAAACATTCTAAGTAACGTTAGATAACTTATGTCAACGGGAGACCGTTAACTCATAGCGCGGCAAACACAAGCCACCGGATTGCACCGAGAGGCACAGAGTGTTACCGACGAAGCAATATGAAAAAACAAAACTCACCAAGTGCCGTTAATTTAAATCCAAATCCTTGAAAAAATCCAAATCCTTGAAAGAGCGTAGACACGCGCTGTCACAGCTTGTGAGGACGAATCTCGCTGCTCTTGTAAGCTGCACTTGACAGCGCGTCACTTAACCAATACAACCTATCTCAACTAGGCGAGAAAGCGAAAGAGGTAGAGTGCTGAGCTACTGTAGCTTTACCCTCCAGGGCTCAGCATACGTCACGCCACGTGACTTTGTTGGTATATTCTCTTGACCTATCTAGCTGGCGCTGCGATAATCCATAGTGTTTACACTGCCTCTGGCGGTCAGTAAGAATGAAACAGAACACAAAGTACCAGACGCAACAATATAATTGATAATTGCATTTTCTCAATGTTCTATAAAGTGCCCATGGTAAATTAATTAGTTTATTTTTTTATATCTTTTGAGGTTGAGAGTGGTACCTGGTCTTAGTTTAGGAATTACTGTGGTTTTGGAAAGGTCTCTGGTGTGTTGAACACAGACGTGACCTGCTTGCCTGCCATGATAACAGATTAAATGTAGTCTGTAACCCTTTAGCCTGTAACTGTAACATTTAAAAAAGGCTTATTGTTACGAGCAAACAAGCGGAAGACACACAATAGAGCTATTGTGTCTCTGGGTGCCTCTCTTGTATACAACACATTTCTTCTGCAATTCAGAAAGGTCATTTCAGTCTTATATTGTATTTTGTTTTCTCTCTCAGGGAAGGAACCATCAAACCCGGTGACAGGCTGCTCAGTATAGACGGAATTCGTCTGCATGGAGCGTCTCACGCAGAGGCCATGAGTATCCTCAAACAGTGTGGCCAGGAAGCCACACTTCTAATAGAGTATGATGTGTCAGTCATGGGTAAGGACACTCCCACTTCATCTAATCCCAGCCCCCAGATAATTCACATTTATTGTTTATAATTAAATGGGGAAATAAATATGGAGTTAATCATAAAGGAGCCAGAAATATTTATTTCATAATATTTAATATAGACTAAATTACATTACAATCGATGCTGTCAAATCGATTAATTGCAATTAATCGCATCTAACATAAAAGTTTGTGTATATATACACTACCGTTCAAAAGTTTGGGGTCGGTACGATTTTAAATACTTTAAAAAGAATTCTCTTCTGCTAACCATGGCTGCGCTTATTTGATTAAAAATACAACAAAAATCAGTTATAGTATTAAATATTATTCCAGTGTAAATCAGCTGTTTTCTGTGTGAATATATAGTAAAGTGTAATTTATTCCTGTGATCAAAGCTGAATTTTCAGCATCACCAGTGTCAGTGTCTTCAGTGTCAAATGATCCTTCACAAATCAGTATAATATGAGGATTTGGTGCTCAAGAAACATTTATTATTATTATCAATGTTGAAACAGTTGTTGGTCTGTCAGTTGTACAGTTTTTTTTTTTTTTTTGGATTCTTTGATGAATAGGAAGTTCAAAAGAACAGCATTTGTTTTAAATATAATCTTTTGTAACATTATAAATGTCTTTACTGTCCTTGATAAATAAAAGTATTGATTTCTTTCCTCCAAAAAATAAAAATAAAATTCTCACTGACCCCAAACTTTTGAACGGTAGTGTATATATATATATATATACACGTGTATATACTTACAAACTTTTATGTTAGATGCGATTAATTGCGATTAGTCAATGTGACAGCACTAATAACAATACATTTTATATAATTTTTTACAAATATTTCGGTATTAATACATTTACATACCGAGAGAAGTGAAATAGCAGAAAAGAGATGAAAAATGAAAAGAAAAAATACAATCTTTACTTTGTTATATGTGTTGCTATAAAAGTGAGTTTACTTGTCTTTATTAATTATTTAGTTAATTATTCATTCTTATGTTAATTATTTAGTCTTTATTTACTCACCTCTATTACTGGGACTATTGATTTAATTTATTGTATTTTAGTATTTTGCTTTTTTTTTTTTTTTTTTATTCTGTTTAGTTTTGTTTGTACTGTAGTGCACTTTTAGCACGTAGCAAAACATAGTTTTCGTTTAGTTAATTTTTTTTTATACTTTTATTTCATATTTATTTAAAAAAAAAAAATCTGCAAGTTGTTTTAATAGTGTTCCTTAATGGCAGGGACTTTGTCTAGAAGGGCATTTTGTGGTTTGTTGAAGACCAGACCAGTGGTGCTGTTGTGTTCTGGATCATTGTTGAGGCTGGAAAACCATTACAGTATTTGTAAACGCTTATCGACTGAAAACAGCAATTACAGAATGTAACATTTTAGCAATTTTAAAGAAGTTATTTCATGTTTTCCAACTCTCGAATGTCAATATGTTTCTGCTGAATTTGTAAATGTCAAGGAAAACATGCTGTGGATAATGACAGAGTGCCAAAGAGGTAAATCAGGTGCAAAAAGACAAGAAAGAGGGTGACAGCGAGTGAGCTGAACTGAAATGAAAAGGGAAGTCTCTTAAGATTTGAAGTGGCCCGTGGCTGTAACTCATCTTTCCGATGTCTTTATTGGGCTCTGACCCGGAAGTGATGGATTCTCTTTCTGCTGTGCCCAGAGGAAGTCTAGTGAAAAGGCACATCCTGCTTCACTGCACTGATATGCCCCTCAGAACAGTGCTGTTCAAACAGCATTAAACGCTAACTACCTTACAGTGACTTTTTTGACTGTGTTTTTGGTCAGTACACTTTCCTTCTCAGTTTAAGTTTTGCTGTGTAACCTATAGATCGCTCTGTCCTGGCATTCTGCCCAAAATAAAACATTCTCTACACCTAAATCAATTTACACCATGTTTCTCCCTCTGTCCTCACACTCTCTTTCTGTCTTATCAACTCTCCTGCTCAGTATGGTACATTCTCATTGGTGCGAAAGACGATGCTAGTCTGACACATTTCTTTTAAACAGTTTATTTCAATTAACTGTTTAAAAAAAATATTCTGCAGTATTTGTACGCCATTGTGTACTAATGCATTATTGTAATGCAATCTTGAGGTATTGTTCTTAGTATTTGCTTGATCATTATGAGTTAATTTCAACAAGTTTGTGTTTGTTACCAAACTCCTAACGAATCAGACATGTCGAAAAGAGAAGGTTCTAGGTTGAGTGAGTCAGTCAGTTGTTGATTCGCAAACCGCTCAGATTGTTTTTGTGAACTGTTTCAGATGATTCATTGGAAATATCTTAGTCAAAAGAACGATTCATTCATGAATCAGGCAATACCTGCTGAAAATTGTCGCTTCAAGGGTGTTAAGGCCCGCTCACATTCACTAAATTTCAGAGGTTAACTGTCTATTGCCAGTAGTTTAGCAATTGATGAAGCACAGCTCACACCGAATTCATTCAAAACAAACAGCTTTCTGTTTGTCAATCCGCGTGAACAACTTGAACTAGTTTCGAAATCTGTGTGGGAAAATATTTCACCCTCACTTGAAATTCGTGATCGCAAGCATTACTATTATGAATTGACGCGATTTCGCACACAAAAACACCATAACCGAAAGTAATATGTGTAACGAGAGTGTATATCACATAAAATAATCATGTATGCACTATTACAGTTAGAAAGAGGCCAACTTAATTTATTCCTGACAGGCATTGATTCCTGTGACTTGCAGCGATTGGTTGCCGGATAGCTTTTTTTCCGTAGCTCATTTGCATAATATTGAGCATCATCTCATCTGTTTGACACTCTCACCATTTGCTCCGCTTCACTGTCAACCCCACAATCTCCGGTAGAGAAGGAATTGAAAATGGCTGCTTAGCTCCGCACCAGTGGACACAGACAGTAACGAGGTTTGATTAAAAGTAACCGCCAGAGACCAAGCATGCATTGTACATTCATCACTATTTACAACTGCTCTTCCTCCCATCGCCTCATGCTCCTCCAGCACTTCACGACAACACAAACACTCCTTAGCGAGCTCCTCGATCAAGCCCTCATCAGCGTGATGCGCATAACGGTGGCACGTTAATCACCACGCCTCTGTCACCCGGATGGCACCCATGTGATTGAACAATTTCCCCACCCCTGGCTTTATTAATGGATAGTCAGTTCAACCCTGTTTAGCTGATGTCAGGTGGGTCTGTGAGGCTTGGCAGGAAGGTGAAGGTGGGATTCAGGGGCTGTAAAAAGGGGTTTAATCATCATCAGCTGTCATGGGGGCTCAAGGAGATCACTTGGATCTCATTTAGCACGTTTAGTTATCCCACACTTCCACTAGGGATGTGCAATTTGGTCATTTTGTCTCCTCGAATAGTCAGCAGCCAATTTTCAGTTCAGCTCTTCTCTTGCTGACCAGATTGCAATGTACCACCCAAAATACCATTATAACAAATCAATTTCGACACATTTGCTTGTAGTTATTGGACTCTTGATCACTGTTGAATGCTTTAAAACAATTACAAGTGACAATTCCTTATGTTTGAGGCTCAAAGTCGCTCTCCAAAATCTTCAACTTCTCTGCTCCTCACTGGGGGAGTGAGCTTCCAACCTTCACTTGAATCTTCTGCAAGCACTTAATCATCTTACACCCTTAAACCAACACACACACACACACACACACACACACACACACACACACACACACACACACACACACACACACACACACACACACACACACATACATTCTTGTACAACATTGTGAGGACATTCATTGACACGATCCAATCTTTAGCTCCTAATCCTAACCTTACCAATCACAACTGTGCCTAACCTTAACCCTACTTATAACCGTATCCCTAAAACCAAGTCATGACCCTCAAACATGCTTTAAATGGGTCTTAGAAAGTGAGGACTGGCCAAAATGTCCTCATTTTACTCTTTGTCCTCACTCCAATGATATAAAACTTAAACCAGTCCTCACAAATATAGTTGTTCAAGTACACACACACACAAAAAAATCCTATTTTTTCTTTGCACTACTCCTTTTCTAGCTTGCTTCCAAATCTACAGTAGTCGCCAAATAAACCTGGCATTGTATATTACGAATATTGTTGGCTCTTGATGAATTGCTTTGGTTCCTCCTTTGTTAGTTGCTTTGGATAAAACCCTGTGCTAAGTGCATAAACGTAAATGTACAATGTTCCTTGGATACACTTGGATCACCACATGTTTGAGTCTTTATAGAGCCGCTTTACAGACCAAAGCAACTTCTTTCGGACTAGCGAAGGAGTTTCCCCAGTATGTTGGCATGTTGCGATGGCAGCAAGTGTGTTTACCGTGAACGCAGGGAGGAAGTTGTCACAGCCGACAGCTGTACGCCCGCTCTAACTAAAGACCGGCTGCTCATTCTGTCCGCTCCACATACAACAGCAGGAGCTATTTCTCTTTGTAATGAGCGTCAAGTGAAATCAGCACATGTTGGAAACAGGCTGGAAGAGCGGTCGTGTGACACTTGTTTACGCGTAGTGGTTTCCTCCACGCTCTAAAGATGTATGGTGTAATCAGGTATTTAGTGCAGCCCATTACTAAACTGAGATGTTGAATTACCTCCATTACACTTTAACAGGTCCAACCACAGCCGCTCGCCCTCATTCACATTAATGAGGTGTGTGAACATGTGTGTGGGGGTGTATAACCATCATTCGTAATGTTTTTTCTCTTTTTCCCCCATGTATTTGGGCACTTAAGCCACACTTACAAATGCATTAGAAGCAAAATATCTAATCAAGTTGTTACCGCTGGTGTAAAAGTGATTCTTAGTAGATTTATGAAGTCTGTCAATTCCTCAAGTTTAGTAATACAGTAATTTGTAGCTGTAGCAGAGGAAATGTATATATTCACACGGTCGCTATGCCATCAAAAAAGATTTTCAAGAATAAAGCCATAATGTTACGAGATTAAAAGACGCTTTATACCACTGGAAGGTCCATTTTCTGAATATAATCAATGTTTTTCTCCTACTTTACAGATTCTGTAGCCACAGCTTCAGGCCCGCTGTTGGTGGAGGTGGCCAAGTCGATGGGCTCCAGTTTAGGTCTGGCTCTCTCTACCTCCATGTACTGTAATAAGCAGGTCATCATCATCGACAAGGTCAAACCAGCCAGCATCGCCGATAGGTAATTACAGCGGCAATCATTTCCACAACACAGAGGACGCTGAAATGAAAGAGGAATTTTCCTTATGAAAGAAGCATCATTGCTCATCATGTTTCCATTGTTTTGTGAGCCAGATCAATGCATCGAGAGGAGTGAAATGTATGCTGCAGAAACCTGATGCCTGCTTGTGAAAATTTCAAAGTTTGAAATGCATATAGCTTAGCAACTAATTATAGAAATTCAATAACTCATCTAGCCTTCATACCAGCAGAAAGGCCCGGAACAATAATAAGGGTGGCGGAGTGCTGAGCAAGTGAAAACCTTTCCATCAGAACAGATTAGCACTTTGAAGATGATTCAAGAGTTTGCTCTTGGGAGAAACATTGGGTGGGAATTATTAATACTCCTTATACCCTTTTTGCATCGACAGGGTGCCAGTTTAGGTGCCCAATCTGGAACCACTATGTCCATTTCTACTGCAGAAAAGCATTTGTGCACTTTTTTTCTTATTTTTTTCTAAATTGGCTTAAAACCAGTGCTAATGTATTAATAATAAATTAAATAAATACATCAAATTTAAAAATTATTATTAATTAAAAACACTTAAGGCTGATTTATACTTCTGCGTTGGACCTACGCCAGAGCCTCTACGGCGCTGTAGGCTACGCGTTGGTTTCCATTTATACTTCTGCGTCGTTGTCCGCGTTGGCGCGCAATTACACATGCAGAGGGAGCGTGTGAAACCCGGGGAGCGGTTCTAGCAGGCCAATCACAGCGCTTGCGGTACGCGTAGAATTGACGCGTTGTTACATTTTTGGAGAGGTGCACGTCAGGGTATGCCAAAGGGTACGCGCGCTACACAAAGCCTACGACGTAGCTACGGCGTGAGTTCGTATAAATTGTATAAGTATAAATTGGTGTTTAGTCTGCATCAATTTGGTATTCAAACTACTGAACCTACTTTGGTGTTGGACTACTGAAAGTCATGATATTTGCAGTAGTATTGAGAAGAATTTGTTTTAAACGATTGTTTGAAATGATGCCTGTGATAAGTGCAATTCAGTGGACGTTTAGGGTTGGCAGAACAGGAAGTGATCTAATTGCCTTTGCAGGTGTGGTGCACTGCATGCAGGTGATCACATCTTGTCGGTGGACGGCACAAGTATGGAGTATTGCACACTGGCCGAGGCCACCCAGCTGCTAGCTAGCGCTTCAGAACACGTCAAAATGGAGATTTTGCCCCACCACCAAACAAGACTGGCTCTCAAGGGCCCTGAACATGGTAAGAGACCCACGCACACTCACTCTGAGCTCTAAGGGTACCTCTACACTAGAGTTTTAAAACAGAAAACCCTTTTGACAAAACATTTAAATTGGAATTGTATATTGTATGGATATAGGCAATTCACTGCATCCTTGCTTGATTTCAAACCAACACGGCTCTTTTTACACTCCTTTAGGACTTTCTCTAGTGCGTAAGACCACGAAAGTGATGCAAATTGTAAAATGTGGTGGATAAATGCACATTTATTTAGAGTTTTACTCACTCAGCATTTTATTTTTGGTCACATTTATTAATGGGAACAGTTGTACAACATGCATCTTAGAGTAGCTCTTCAAATCTCAGTGCTCTGAGAGTGGAGACATACCCTTAATCGATATTGAAAGTGATGTGATATGCATAATTGATGCGTGTCTTTGATATCAACCCTGTAGTTCCTAGATACAATATGTTGTCTGAATGCAGCATTTGACAGCAGTGCAAGGCCAGCTGTGTCCTCTCCACATGGTGGTTATCTTAATGATATTTAAACAACATTCCTGTAGATATATGAATCTTTCCTCAGGTTGTCAGGGGTTACGTGTTGTTTGAAAGCTCATTCTTATCACCTGACAGGTTTTTAAGTTGTGCGCCACCAAACGGTATGATAACAAGAGTTGACGTTAAAAGTTTAGAGCAAGGATGATTCTCCCAGAGAATACATCCTCATGACATCCTATGTGTGCCCTGTCACCTCTTATCAGGAGCAGGATGTTAACGTTCAACACCAGAGACAAAGGCTTGAATGCTGCTGTACTGAATGCTGATAGGGCTAGATTTATACCACAAAGATGTAGAATGCCACACACTAGAGCAGAGCCAGGTAAGAATGACCGGACCAAAGTCATATTTAATGACCAGAATCGAGACTTTTGACTTGGCTAGTAAGCAACCACACAGTAACATGCTACAAAACCATCAGAACATTCTGGAAAACAGGCAGAACACCCTAGCAACCACATAGAAATTAAAAGAACCCTCAGAATACCTTTGCAACCACATGGCAACGCCTTGGGAAGCACCCAGAACACCCTAGCCACCACATAGCATCTTGCTAAAAACTCTTAGTATACCATAGCAACTACATAGCCACAGCCTAGCAACCATCCAGAACATCATAGCAACTGCATAGAAATGCCCAAGCAGCCACACAGAACACCATAGCAACTGCACAGTAACATGCTAAAACCCCTCAGCATCTATATAGCAACCACATAGCAACACCCTGGCAACCATCCAGAACATCATACCAACTGCATAGAAATGCCTTAACAGCCACCCAGAACACCCTAGCAACTGCACAGTTACATCCTAAAAAACCTTCAGCATCTGCATAGCAACGCCCTAGCAACCACCTAGAATGCCATTTAAATGCCTAGAACATCAACAACATTCTATCAACCGCAGAGTAATATGCTACAGAACACTTAAGCAATCACACAACATTCTGGCAATAACTAGAACACCTTAGCACCTGCACAGTAACATGCTGAAACCTCCTCAGCAGCTGCATAGCAACACCCTGCCAACCACCTAGAATACCGTAGAAACATCCTATATGCATCCTATATGTCCTGTACTGCTGTTCTGCTGGCATCCTTCACTGAGATATAAAAAAAAAAACCTATTGACAAATTAGAATTATTTTGCAGAACGTCCACAAGGTCAGTGGCTGTACGACCTTTAAGCTATAAACTTAATAAGAATGTGGATTAAAGCCTAGGCCCAGAGAACATAAATAAGCGTGGACCTGCACAGCATACTAATGCTTCTTGCTTGCTGTCGTAAGGGTTTTTTAGAGGCCCAGCTAGAAAACAATGAAGTGACCCTTGGGTCAGCTGGTAGGAGGCGTCTTGATTGGCTCTTAAGAGAAGGAAATTGAGTTTAGAGCACCATCCAAACACATTCACAGGACGAAACGCACTCCTGAATCCTGTGAAGAGCCGCACATGTCTACTGTCAGGCTTCTCGCATTACTATGCACCTGCACATCCACTACGCAGTTCGCACACACTGACGTGTACTCTATTTCCTCAGCTCGAGCAGATTTAGTGCAGTGAAGCGTTCTATACTAACACAGATCTAAATGCCAGCCGCGGTGAAATTCCAGACAGCTGGCTAATGCCAGAAACGTCAAAACACCAGACAGCTGGCTGACACGTTAACGCACGTATGCATCACACATACACATTCTGCCTTGTCACCGCATACTCATGCAAACACAACATCCATTTGGAGGGCTTCCATGGGTGGCAGTGTCTGTGTGCCACAGAAAACATCTGAATCTTGTGCTGAAAACAAAAACAATACTTGTTTCTGATGCAAACACTGAACCGAATCGTTTTGCTTGGCTACCATGTGCATGTCGTTTTTTTGTAGTACAATGTATTAAGTGCACACTACAGAGTGTATACTGTACATATACCACATATTGTATATACATACAGCACTCATACAATATTTTAATAAGTTGCCAGCCCTGGTATAGAGAGACTAAGCTATATTGTGTTATATATTGTTTACTTCACAATAAAAAAAAAAATCAACTATTTAAAAATAGATGTAGAGCATATTATATGAATTTATATTACATGATATTATTATACATTTATTTATAATATTTAGGTAAAAAAAATACAATATTCTCTACTTTAACTAAAATGTTCGATTCAAAATTAATCATGGTATTGCAAAAAAAAAAAAAAAAGATTAATCTTGCTTATATTAATTTGTTGACACCCTTGGTATAGAGATTCTACATTGTTTATGCCTGCAAAAACACTCATCATATTTTCATGTGTGCCTTCCCCTCTATGATTCATGAACAATCTCTCTTTATTTCCCCCCCCACACACACACACATAATTGTAGAAGTAATAGCTCTCATCTGTCCAGGCCTGATTACCTTCGGTCTCAATGGATTCTTCACTGTCTTTCAACTCTGTGCTACTGTTTGATGCTATCATGATGATGGATCCCTGGTCTCCTGCCTTACACAAAAACACACTCCTCCTCCACCTCTCACCGAGTCTCTTTCCTGTCTAATCCCCTCTGCAGCCACTGCCCTCCAGTTTGCCTCTCTCTTCTCTCTCTGAGACTGCTTTTGTAATCTCTCTTTCCAGGCTGTGTGCTTGTGTGTTTGAAAGCACAGCAAACATGCAGCTAAAATTAACCGTGAAAACAGAAAGGAGCCAAAATAGAAAATAATCAATGCAGGTGTCCGTGGTTGTGTATTCTTAGGAGGACGCTTTGATGGGAGAACTAGCTATTGGATATTTAATACCTTGCTGTGGAAATGCTTGTTTGTCTGCTTGTCTACTATGTATAGCCGAAAGAAAGTCTCAGAAGATATTGCAAGGTAGCTTGCAGCTGCATTTTTGGCGAGGTCTACAGTATTTGTGACATCTGTTGCCTCGACCTAGAACATTTCTTAAAGGTATAATTCACCACAACATTTTATTTTTTATTTTAAATTTTTTTTACATTTATTTTGGACGCATTGACTTTCATTGAATGGACAAAAACGGTTTCCCACAGAAGAAAGAAATTGATACAGGTTTGGAAGAACATGTATTTGAATTAATTAGTCAACTATCCATGCAACAAATTTTCCAAATGTTTGGTATAATTTATTTAGCTTATCCTTGTTTTGTTGTCCCTTTCTGCGCTTATGAAAAAAAAAGTCCAATCAATAAGCAGATTGATAAGCCTTTAATGGGCATTTCAAACATGAAATTGCTAAAATAGGTAATTTTTAACAATGTTGGTTTTATTTCAGGGGAAAAGCCTTAAAGTGTCTCTCCTTGTTTGTTTTATCTTGTATCTGTTATACATTGGCATTTATGTGGTGTTGTATGCTTTTCCCGCTCACGTCCTCCCTCTCTCTCTCCTCTCCGTGTGGTCAGTCAAGGTGCAGAGGAGTACCCGGACATTGCCCTGGGAATCCGGAACCAACAACAACAGCAACTTCCTTCCCTATCAACACTATAACACCTACCACCCCGACCAGTCCCGCAGCCAGACCAAGCAGAAAACCTCTCCAAACAATCCCCGTAATGTTCCTTCCCTTTTCCTTCATCCTCATCCTCTTGTATCTTCCTCGTCTCTCATCAGTGACAGATTTATTCCATTGTTTTATGGGTTTTGGCTTTATAACTTCCAAAATAGATTTTCAAATGTATTGTTTATTTTAAACTCAAGGTCTCGTATATTTTAAAAAATGTGGCTAATCGATGCCACATGAGCAACAGACCATAATCAAGTTGGGTGGAGTTCAACATTATGCAAATGAACATAGACAGCCATTGGGAGTGAAGATGCTGTATCTTTTGCTATATATATATATATATATATATATATATATATATATATATATATATATATATATACAATCAGTTTAAATCATGCATTATTTGAGAATTGAACCCACGACCTTTCCGTTGCTAGAGTCATGCTTCACATAAATAAATAATGTGATATGCAATACAGGAAGAAATGGTAGAATGTCTCATTTGCGCTTTGTTTGATAAGACTGTTTTTGCTTTTGTCTTTTTTAGCGTGTTTTATTTGATCTCTTTGGAAAACAGAGCAGAACTAATTTGTTCCCCGGCTGTTTCCTTGTCTCTAAACTGTGCTGAGGCTCTCTTCCTCCGTATTATATTTGGCCTTTATTCTCCATCATGTGGGCATAGCTGAGCTCTATTCTACCAGAGGCGAGAGCACATTACGGCAAAGCTCAGACTTACCGAACAAAGCCAGACGAGCACTGAGCCATTCAGGGAGACTTGTGTGTTTTTTGTTGTGCAGAAGATACAGCGAATCCACAGGACTCATTTGTGTTGCCATTCATAGGGGGATATGGAACATAATCCTTGTTAAGGAAGCGATATTGCACTATTGACATTATAGCAATGTGACCTGATCGTTTCTCCCTGTGCAGTCATGGGTGGACTTTATGGTCTCAAATACATTCTGGGACATGTAGTCAATGATGACTGACATCCTGAGGCCCTAGATTTGCTCTCTAATTGGCTGATAAGATGGGGAGATTGTCACTTGTCACAAAAGCACTCCTCATTTGTGTTTTTAGGTCATGCTTTTCCTCTTTCAACGGCCTTTTCAGCGAGCCTGATTTGATTATACGACTCATTACTATAAATTCCAGCCATCAGGGCCCTATCGATCTCTTTTGCTGGCACTCTATGCATTCCAAGGGCACCGTGAGACTGTTAGAGATGACCTGTAATTGTTCGTTTACACTGACAGTGATTTGCAGCACTAAAGCAACTGGACGTTGTTCATTGTCAGTGATAGTTGGCGTTTAGAGGTGACGTGATTGACAGAGACCATTGATGCCACCTAGGGAAGGTTTTGATGCAAAATAGGATGATCATCTCACACCACTGCTAAAAAAAATAGAAGACGATTTGCACAGGTGGCTCAACCTTCCAATCTCCATAATCGGCAGGATAGCAGCAATAAAAATGACGATTTTACCGAAAATTAATTACCTATTCTCAATGATTCCAACCCACCCCACACTCACCTGGTTTAAATCACTAGACTCCATTATAACTCGCTTCTATTGGAAAAATAAAATACCAAGGATAAAACTCACTACACTACAAAAGAGTAAGGTTCAAGGAGGACTAGAAGCACCAAATTTCCAATATTACTCAATGGCTAACCAACTGCAATACATATACAAATGGATTCACCCCACCCAATCTGATATTATTTGGCTAGATATAGAACAATCACTATGCAAAGAATTAAATATAGCTGACATACCGTTTCTCACCAAATCAATTAAACAACACACATGTTTTAATGCAGTAACTATAGCCACCACTCTGACAGCCTGGTGGAAATTTCACCAAATCACAAATTCTATACTAGCTCCATCTAACCTCACCCCACTGTGGAACAACCGTGACTTCATAAGCAATAAGAAAACACTGAATTTTCACACATGGGCGGAAAAGGGTATCACCCACATTAAGCATATTTTCAAATCTAACACATTTAGACCACTTCCGCAACTGGCCCAGGAGTATGGCATCGGGAGCAACGAATTTTTAAAATACCTGCAAATCAAATCTTCTGTTCTGACAAAAATAAACATCAGAGACACAAATTTAGAACTTCCACCGGCAATATCAGACTTGGTCAACATTTCCTCCCCAAAGAAACTCCTCTCTAAAATATACAAAATGATTTCAAACCAACTTCAGACCATACACTTACCAACAATAAAATGGGAAAACGATCTTTCAATAGCCCCTGATGCCAACTTCTGGACCCAAATCTGTAAAAACATCTATCTCATGTCCAAAAATGCAAATCTTCAGTTAATACAATACAAAATACTTCACAGAACACATTACACGGGAAACAGATTAGCTAAAATGGGTTTCACATCAGAAGTTTGCACACATTGCAATCAAAATTCTACAGATACATACATCCATGCAACCTGGCACTGCACTCCAATCAAACACTTTTGGGAAGAGGTCACACAGGCACTATCCACTATAGTTGGCTGCCACATCCCACTGTCGCCTTCTCTTTGCTTGCTGGGGGACCTCACAATAATCACTGATAAAACTATAAACTCTAAAATGCTCCTCATAGCTCTAACCATCGCCAAGAAAACTATCCTCATGAACTGGAAAACTAGAAATAAATTACACATTAACATTTGGAAAAATCTTATTACAGACTTCATTGCAGTGGAATACGCATCTCCCCTTCATAATTACACATCTGAAACTGACCTCTGCCATCCAACACTTTCTGACCTCTTACAGCTATGAATCCTTTCTCTGTTTTCAACTCCGACTCCTCCCACCTTCTTAATCAACCCACGAATATTAATGCATTTTAGTTGTTGGAACTTGTTTGTCATCATTGTTATTACTATCTTTACTGTTATTGTTATGGTTACTATTTTCACTTTTATTTTTTCATTGTTGTAATTGCTGTTGTTGCTGTCTTTTGCTTTCACCATTGCGGTCGCCACTGCCATCATCATTGTCATTAATTATTAATATTATTATTATCATTATTATTATCATTAATCTTGCCATTGTCAATGCTGTATTGGAATTAAGTGTCATTGTCATCACTACTGCAATAACTCCCCCCTTATCTCTTCATGGGCTTTTAATGCAACACAACATAGAATAAAAATAAAAAAAAATAAAAAAAAAGGAATATGTATGGAAAACTTAACAAACACCAAGGCAGGCAAGACAGGCGAGAAGTGGTTTCAACGGGACAGCATCTCTGTCCCAATTTGAGACACTCTCGCACTGCACTCCCTCTTTTAATGCACCTTAGACATTGCACATAACACAAAAAAAAATAAAAATAAAAATAATTAGGGAAAGATAGGGACTGATGAGATGTGGGGGAAGGTTCTCTTATATCATCTTTTACTTTGTGCAGGATTGACAATGGCAATTGTTACATAGGAGGAAGGATGGAAATAAAAATCGACCAACACAATATTGACAGTATGGTGGTAGTGGGGAGTGGGGTGGTGATGGTAATGACAATGGTAATAGATAATAAATGGTTACTCTGTTTACGCATACACACACATACACATACACATACCCACACGCACACCCGCTCACATACACACTTAGATCAAACACTTAAATCACTTTTATGTCACTTCTGGAATTATGGATTTACAAGATTGCTCACTGCTGCACTATGTTGGTTTGTATGTATGTTTGACTGTTAAATAAAAAAATAAAAAAAAAAATAAAAAAAAGGATGATCATCTTGTAAAAAAAACTCCCTTCATAAAATATAATGGTAGCCATGTATGAAGACTTCAGATGCAAAAGTCTCTAAGTGCCTTCTGAAATTTTCTTCTAAAATTATCATTTTTATCAAGCTCCTATATTTAAGTTCAGTAATTTCACTTTAATGACAATCAATAGGTAATTTTCATTGCCATTAAAGTGAAATAACTGAACATAAACATAGAAGCTTGTTAAAAATGATCATTTTAGAAGAAAACGTCAGATGGCACTTAGAGGCTTTTGCATCTGAAGTCTTCATATGTAAAGACCTATTCATACTGTGCGAGAAAAATTATTGTATGATCTTGTCATACTATAAAGACAACATGTTGTCTACACACTACATTACATTAATGTTAGATGTATAAACCCTTTAAAAAACATTTGGTTTTTACTCAATTACATTTTTATTATTATTTTTAACTTTATATTTAAAATATTTTTATTTATTATGCTTGGTTTTTATTTCTATTCCCTAACGTTTAAAACTAGGACTGCCAATAGGATACAACAATCGATTAATCTGATTTTCAACCAGCCTTTAGACAGCAAAATGTAAAAAAGGGGGGAAACTTTAATTGTTAATTTAATCTAATTGTAATTTAATAAATGAATATATTATAAATGAATAATTCATTAGATATATGATATAAAAATATAGTCAATATTACGTTTATTTTGACAATCCAAAAAAAAATACATTTTCTGCGGATCCCTAACACCTCCTTGCAGACTTCAGTTTGAAAACCCCTGCAGCAACCAATGGTACAGCAAACTGCCAACCTCCAGCGATTTCACAGTTTGCCACTTATTTCACACATATGATTGAATTTAAAGTTAGCAACACAAATACAATCTCTTGCGGCACCTTCCCAACCTTCACAGTCATGATTCACATTCTGCATTCAAGAGGGCCATAAAGATGCTGTGGGCACTTCAATGCTGGTGGCTTCACATAATTTACTGTCATTCCATCAATACTTTTTAGTGACAGTGTCGTTTTTTATCCCTGGATTATACATCCCCCAGGTTCTGGAAGTTCAAAGGCTTTTTCCATCTTTGAAAGATGTGCCCTTGATACGCATGAACACAAACTCCTCCGAGAGTTGTATTATTTAAGCCGCTGTTTTCTTTTTCCTTTAAGACAAATTAGCCAGCATTTACTGGACTTCAACTCTTTAATGTTTGCATTAGGAAGAGCTCATCCTTTACAATTCACAAATGGACAAGAAGGCCTCATTATGGCTGTAGATGGTTTAGTCTTTTAAAAACAAGATAGAAAGGCAGAATGTCTTTCCATGTGGCAAGAGCAGACAATCTGTTTCAAACAGTAATGCAAAAATAAGACTGTAATCTGCTCTAATCCTGCATCACCAGTGTCTCAGCCAAACAAAACATAGTTTTTTGTAGTAGTAGTAATGTTCTGCCAGTTTTTTTGTGAGCGCTAAAAACATGGCTTTGAATCTCTCTATCTGATGAGTATGAACTGTGATCCGGTTCTTAGGCATTGCTCTGTGATAAGAAGTGGCTTTTAGGCAATTGGGAGTATTTTTATAGATGTGCTTTGATGAAGATTTACCACCGTTCACACAATGTCAAACACGAGGGCAGTCTGCTACACTTTAATGAGTTGTTTTGTGCATTTCCTCGAATGGTGACAAACCGTGGCTCTCATTTCTAACACCTGTTGTTAGAAATTGTTGGGGTTCAAAAGTTCAGTTGAAAATATGGTATTCAAAATGGGATTTAAACTGTTAAAACCCAAAATGAATAAGAAAAATGACAGATTCTGCACTATTTCTAGGTCACTAACCTAAGTAAATTTGTGACATCGACATCTTTGTACAGACAGTCTCAAGAAGCTCAAGATGCTCATCGAATCATCTCAAATCATGCTGGAGATCATAAACATCAAGCTTAACTTATGGAGTTTATACAGCTTAAGTGCTGCTGTCTTTAACGCAGAAGAAAGATAAACCAAATACTAAGACGTTCTGAAATTCTCGAATTGTTATACTGATAATGTCATTTGTAATGGTAAAAAAAAATGTAAGTAGGCTATTCTAATAAGCTAAACTGAACATTATATACTAAATATTGATTGTTTTGAAATGAGTCATTGAGAGTTGATAATGAGTTTCTCTTTCCCACACAGCTCTGGGTTCATCCTTCTCTCCCACCTCCATGAGTGCCTACAGTCTGAGCTCACTCAACATGAACACGTTGCCACGCACCATGTATCCCACAAGTCCCCGAGGCACCATGATGAGACGCAAACTGAAGAAGAAAGACTACAAGAGCTCAAGTACGTTTGATGCAGTCATGTTTAATTTTTCACCCAAAAATCACTCATATGACTAGGGCTGGGTATTGAGTTCGATACTTTTTAAACAAAGACCGAATTGCCTCGATACTATCGAGTATCAAAAAATGTCTTGTCGTTTGGTACAAAATTTGATACCTAAGGGGTTAATCTCGTCAATGTCAGTGAGCCAATAAGCATGCAGCATGATTGGCTGTGGCGATGCATCAAGGAAAAACACTAGTTTACGCCGGATATGCCCAGAGACTTGGATCAAGTGAGGCTGTAGCGTGTAAGCATCCAAACCCCCATAGATGTATAAGATGTGGAAAAGAACAAAAGTGTGGCTACATTTCACCAGGCTCGATGCCAACAACGTGCGATGCAATATTTGCCAAGACCAGCAACATGACAAATCTGATGTACGGAATAAACTTAAGAGCAGAAAGTTGGTCCGTTTTCAACTGTAAGAACTGGAGTGTGTCAAATGAACAGAAACTCGGCGTATAGGCTACTTGCCTCACAGACATGAGAAATAGGCATATAGAAAGCTTGAAATGTCTACTTTTAAACAAACCAATTCCAATCAAAAACATGAAAGGTGCATTTCTCTCTATAGGCGCGCATTGCCGCACGCGTTCACTATACTGCGGAGAAGACGAGTCAGCAACGTCAACTTTATCTTTGTAGTCAACACTGACTCAGAAAACACTAGTTCATTAATAAACAATTAAAATGTCTCCTTGTTTTTTTTCCTAACTATTCATTATCATTAGGCTACTTTTGCCAGAACTTTGTGGCAAGCTTTATGTGCGCTTGAGCGCAAGGCATATATTCCGCTCCCAGTGGGCCTATATGAGTCTTTGAGTCTGTAAAAAAAAAGTCAACAAACTGAAAAACCAAAGGTTTTTTTTAGGTTTTATGTAATGTAGTCTTGTTAAAAAAGATTTCATAAAATTGGTATCGAAAAAAGTATCGTTCAGGAACCAGTATGGAAGTCAAGGGTTAATGTCCCCCAAAAATGACAATTATCCCATAATTTACTCACCCTCAAGCCATCCTAGGTGTATATCTTTCAGCCAAACACTACCAGTGTTATATTAAAAAATATCCATCCATCATAACATTAATCCATACGGCTCCAGGGGGTTAATAAAGGCCTTCTGAAGCAAAGCGATGTATTTTTGTAGGAAAAATATCCATATTTATAACTTTATAAACTGTAATCACTGGCTTCCGGTAACGGCCTAGTTCCACTTCATCGAGTCTAGTTCTGACGGAAGAGTGACCCTTGACCTGACACATGACACATTGACGAACGTGGAAGCGCATGTGATAGAGCAAAACAAAACACCGCTCATGAATAAGAAGTCTAAAACAAGAAGTTTTAAAGAGAAATGTCATAGAAGCTTGAGTTATTTTTTTGAACCGCGAGAGGCGTCTACTCTCACCTAAGCTTACGCTACTTCTACATCCTATGTCAGAGTCACTCTTCTGTCTGAATTAGACTCACGTATGGCCGTTGCCTTTATTGGGCTTCAAAATCTCAGGTACTATTCACTCCCATTATAAAACTTAGAAGAGCCAGGTTATTTTTTTTAAATAACTCCTATTGTACTCCTATTGGTTGAAAGGAGAATGTCATATACACCTAGGGTGGCTTGAGGGTGAGTAAATTATGGATACATTTTTGGGTAAACTAACCCTTTAAACTTCAAACGGAATCGAGGGTACCCTATATTCAGAAGCATTTTACAGTTTTGTGAAGAACAGATTGAGTTGATTCAAGTCATTATTCACTGATAATCTTCACCTCCAGTGAGCTGTTATTTGCTGCAACCAGATCTCCCCATAGCCGAATCAATTTGAGAATGAATTATTTGGTTTTTTGAGTCCGGTTCATTCAAAAAGAAGTCTGACTCAAAGCAACTCTTTTCCAGTGAATCGCAACTTAAATTTGATAATTAGATGTGGAGAGGATAAAATCATACATAAAACAACAGATTTATCGGTGGTCCTTGCCCAGTTCCACTTTGATTCATTCTTTAAACCCTTTTTTTTCTTTCAGAATGGCTGAAGTAAACACAAAAAGGCTTGGTTATTGATTTCCTGTGAAACTTCTGTAATGTATCAGCACCTCCATGCAGGCTCTGGCCAGGGACTTGTCTTGACTTTGATATTAGGTTTAGAATTTTTATAGCATGCCTATGCCATTCTTTGTGCGAAACATAAGTCAGGAGGTTGAATATACCGTCTACATTAACTCAGAAATGAACCTTTATAACTGCCTCATTATGCTAAGCGCATGCAAGTGTGCGAAAAGAGAAGCTTGGTCAAGCCTCTGAAAGCGACGAAAGCAATAAAACTCCAACATAAATGCAACGAGGTTGCTCGGTTTTAAAGAAGAGCCATACGTCTATTATTCTTCCTGTCTCTGCTATGATAGTCTGTCTTTATCTGTACATTCAGACAAGTTGCACATGCTTCCCATCCTTCCCTCTCGCGACTGGGCTCTGAATCTGAATAAGATCAGCGCGTGTGATAGAACTTACCTGAAGTGAATACAATCAGCATTCTCTTCCCATATCTGAAGCCGCCAAGTGAAAGAGGGAAATTACACCTCTGGCTGCCCAGTAATTAGATCCTGAAAGATATTTCATATCCTTCAACTGAGCAGCGTCGCTGCCTCTGCCGCAGATAATTACCCGACCACGCTTTCATACCGCGTGGTGTGTTATCTGCGGGCTTTTTCAACAAGACCAATAAACAAACCCTGGGACTGGAAAATGGTTAATCAGCTGCCCATGACACTGACCTCGTTCATGGTAACTTTCAGTAGCTGACTTGTTTGTGAGTTGCGTTTATAGCTGCTTGGTTATTAACTGTAGAGAACGTAGATGTGAAAGTGATGATTGAGATGCAGGATGAGGTCATGGTGCTGACATCATCAGTTTTCTGATTCAGTATACAAATACAAATCAGTATTTCTGCCACTCTAGTGTTGTTGTTGGTGTTAACTGAAACTAAAACTAATTTTCGGTAATTGGAATAAGGCTGAAATATAATATAAATATTAGACGAAAAGATCAAACTTATTTCAGTTAGTTGCCGAAAGAACATTTTTAATTTGTTTCTTTTTAAGTTCAAGTACTAAAAAATTAAGCTAAAAAAAATAAAGCTATAAATATACAAGCAGGTTTCCAAAGCACTCTTAAAAGCATAGTTAACCAAAAAATGAAAAGTACCGACATTCTTCAATATTTCTTCTTTTGTGTTCAGCATAGGAATGAAATTCATACTGGTTTGTAAGAACTTGAAGGTGAGTCAGTGATAACAGAATTATCTATGACTTAAATGCCTTTCATTTCAAGTAGGTGTGCTTTGGAAACCTGTTTGGAAACAATTGTACCATTCTTCCATGGTTTGGTCAAACAGGTTGTCCCACTCCGAAATCATGCCATTGGCTGTGCTAAAATTTGACATTTCGCTTTGCTCTAACAACAGCATGGTTTGATAGCATCACAGATGCGAAGTCCCCCTACAAATGGCTTGCTTAGATGTCTCATTAAACTGGGATATGAGATGGTATTTCAAAATGGCGAAAAGACTTCTGCCTATTTTAATCTGACTTTGAAGTGTTTAATTTACTTAGCTGCACTTGTTCTGAACATCACTTTTAATAGTTTTTCCTACTGCACTCCCTGCCGCTTGTGTTTGGCTAATATACCTGCCGCACAGAAACAGAGCGTCTCATCTATTACACAAATTTATTTTCAGTTTTACTGCCATGAGCATGTGCATGGCCCCTCATAGACACTGTTTGTTTAGAAAAATGATTCCATAATGGGTCTGTAATAGTTGTATTGAGTCTTTGCTCAGCTTTTATTTTACTGAGGAACATGAAAAATGCTTAATCAGAGGAGCACACCAGAGTATATTATATCGTAATGGAAAATATTTATAGCTAAAAGGAACACGCAGGATAATGCACAGTTGCTAATCTGTTTAAAAACCTCTTAGTCCAGTCTAAGCTGGTGTGCTGGTCTTAGTGGGTTTCCTAGCCCGGTCAGACTGGTCTGCTAATTTTAGTATAGCATTTTTTCAGCTGGTCAGGTTGGGAAACCAGCTGTTCACCCAACTATACACCAGCTAGACCAGACTGGTAGATCCGCTTAATGAAATAACCAGGTTTAAGTACTACACTACCAGTCAAAACTTTGGACCATTGTTGTTATTGAGAAATGAAAAGTAAAAATATCAAAAATAGTTTTCGGTAAATGAAATAAAGCTGAAATAAAAGAATATATAAATATTAGATAAACTAAAATTAGTTTAAACTCTTTTTTTTTAAGTTGCCACCCCAGAGTTTTTGACTATTTTCGCAAAAATTATGGCCCCCATAATATTTTGTTGTATGAATATCTGAACGTAATAGCGCCCCCTATGTGAAAACACGGAAAGCAGGAAAATTCCGTCAATAGGGGGGGGAAAGAGTTAAAAAAATTATAAAAATGACATCACAAAATTACTAAAACTGGAAAATATATATATATATATATATATATATATATAAAAAAAAAAAAACTCAATAAAAAAAATATAAAAATAAATATTACTTGCTGAAATGCTTGAACTTGTATCAAATATAGATTGATAATTGCCCAGGAAACGCTAATGAATTTTAGCAGCTATCAGCAATCACCTTGTTTCAACCCACTGCTGTCAAGCTCAAAGGGCAGCAAACTGTCCATTGCCTCACTGGCCCAAATTGAAAGCTTAATTAAAGCTTGATTAACTTCATTGATGCTCCAAATGAGCCCTATTTGCATAGCACCTTGATTTCACTGTCCGTAGAGCTCTGCACAGAGGCCCCGGCAGTCATTTCAAGGAGCACAATTGCCCAAGATATTTTCTGACAGTCTATAGCGCAAAGGCAAATGAGTGAGGACGGGTCCACAGCATGTAGTGCCGCTGACTCTGCATTTCCAGCCTTTGCATGAGTGATGTCTTCTAGCATACAAAGTAGCATTGGTTTGTTAAAAGTCCCTCCTGAGGCCTTTACTGTCACTGGCTCACAGGGACAGAATAAAGCTCACAGACACTTCTGAAAGAGAGAGAGGGAGAGAGTGGAGCGATGGAGGGAGGGAGATACATGCTGCAAAGTCACCCATCAGACAGCAATGACACGTCTCTGGATGTGATGCCAACCCATCTCCTCACACCGAGCGAGAACACAGGCGGCTGTGCCATTTTCAAGTGCGCTTTATACCGGCACAGTTTAGTGTACTGTTACTTTTTGCAAAGCATTATAGGGACAAATCCCATGTATTTTTTTGTGAAGAATTTGTTCCCTATATTTGTGGAAAGTGTCTACTGCAAGATCAAACAGTGATTCAGTGAAGCAGTGAATGTGAGGTGAAAATATCTGTCTTGTCCACACGCACCATAAACAGAAACATTGTGTCTCCTCTTCTCCTGCTGAGGTAACTGTAAAAAGCTTTCACTGATGTCTTTTCTAAATCTTGTTTACCCCTGTTGGAGGTGGTGTCATGCTAATTGTAACGTTCCCCTCTGTGTTTCTGTTGTCCGGAACAAACCAGTCCGCGTTTAATGTACTGTGACCGAACTACCACCGTGTCTTCTCACCAGGAGAATATTAGCATAATTTAATTGTTGTCTAATGCCTACAGTCCTCGTTTATGATTTCCATGCAGTTGTCAGTTAATATGTTCTGCTAGAGGAAAATATAATTACATTAAAGGACAGTGTTGAGGACATGAAGGCTCCTGGTATCTTCAGACTATGGCATACACTTAACCCGTAGATACGTAACGTAGTTAACCCAAAAGAATGACATTAATTATTATTTACTCACCTTCATGTATTTTTTTAAGTTCCCTTCATATGGTTCAGTAAAAAAAAAACATTATCCCAAATCGTAAAGGGGGTCAAAATTACCCTTATTCATTTCCTATTGTTGTTTTTTATTGATGACGCAAGTCAAGGGCCTTAGGATCAAAGGTGCGTTTTCCAATGTAAAGCCTCCAAAATCGGTTCTCTGTCGAACAAAAGATGTTTCAGAACCCTTCTGACTCATTCTAAGGATTTCAAGTTACAGCTGACTCATTGGTCTGTGGGAAGCACAAATGAAGATTTCTAGCAGGAAGGAAGAGGAGGAAGCGAACGAGCTAGAGAGAGTTAGTCAGCTGGCAACTCTTTAAGATGTGTAGACGATGACCCCTCAGGTGCTTGCTTGTCTGTCAGAGCTTTTGAAGTCTACCACAAACCAAAGACACCACTTAACCGAATCGCCTCGCAAAAGCAAGACTCTGAAGAGCACAAAGCCTTGTCGGGTGAATTCACAGTCTGCGGCTCCTGAGCAATTCCCAAAAAGACCAGTCAGTATCACGTTCAGTGCTTCAGACAGAAAGAGTCCCGAACGATCGTTGATCGATGTTCACCGCAGACCCGTCCCTAAAAGCGTTTCAGCATCCAAGAGGCGTCCTATCTTCATCTGCGTCACCTTAACCTCCCTCTCTCATCCCTCACTCCCAATAAAAAAGGAAAGGTCACTGCATTTAAAACAATAAAGGTGTCTGGTGCGGTAAATCTAGCCCGTGAGCAGGGCCATCAATCTCGGATAGACTCAGTCTTGAAGTGTAACAGGCACTTTAAGAATGCGGAGAGCCTGGTCGATAACCTGGAGGCAGATTTCTGTATGTGTCTATGGGGAAAGAGTCCTCCTGACTACCGTCTGTGCTCCCTGGTGCTTGAGATGACAGTTCGAGCTTGGTCAGTCAAGGGTGTGAAGGGCGCTCGTGTGTCAGAGTGCATTTTCACTTGTCTCTTTGAAAGCATGCAGAGTGAAAAAAGATCTCCAAATGTTGTTGTCCATAAACATTGGCAAAATTGGTTCTTTTTGCAGCCCAGTTCGAATCTGTGGCTTTGCAATTGAGATGTATCCCATGAGACTTTATTGATATAGACAATTGTAAATGGGGCGAAGCGCAGTGTGTAAATCAAATTGGTTATGCTTATGTGCCTGTCTGCTTTTCGGTAAGCTGCTTTAATGTCTCTCAATCAATGCAGTGAAAACAACAGGGCCTATCTTTTTTCACAGACTTGTTTGTGTGTCTAATAGAAATAGACTAGATTTAAACTCATGAACAGTTTTTAGTTTATCATTATCAGCTGATATTTCATATTTATCAGTTGATATTGGATATTTAATTTTCTATGCTCATTTATACCATTTTGTACATTTAGATTGGCTATTAATGTTATCTATTAAAGTTAATTTTTAAAAACGCTAGCAAATGTCAAAAGGAATATCTATTTTTATACTGCATATTATAATGGTATGCATTTAAAGTTTTTATTTTTTTATAATTGTTTTTAATGATTTATTTTTTGTGAATAAAAAATAAAAGCTAATTCTAAATATTAATAAATATTATAATCATTTATAAATACTACTAAAATATAACACTGAGCGGTAGCAGTTATTAGTATTAGTTAGTGCATACTTAATATTTCATTTTTATTAGAACTATGTACAGTAGCATAATAGATTTTGAGGTGATATTAATTAAAATCTCCAAGTGTTGGTATAATGACCCTATATTTAAGAACTGCATAATATAGTCATTTCAGACCCAGAATTGTAAGATAAGAAGTTCTAACAACCTCATAATTCATACCATCTACAGAGAGAGTTGCCCAAAATCCCTGTGGTCTGATTTGCGATATAATATACTAGCTCTATATCAAAGTGGCTTTTCTTATTTCAAAGCGCACCTAGCTGCCCCAAAGATTCTAGCGCACACATTGTATTCTTATCTGCAGCGAGGGCACAGATCCAGCTCAGTCACTCCAAAGACTCAGGACTCTCAACATTATAGTAAAAATTAATAGGGTGGGTCGTTTTGAGCTCCAATAAGAGCAAAAATCCATTTCATAGGTTATCGTGAGGAACCTTTCCAGCTATTTGTGACCCTGTTGTCCTATGTTTTTCATTCCTGTAGTGTCTCTGGCTTCCAGTACCGTAGGGCTGGCTGGGCAGGTGGTCCACACAGAAACAACAGAGGTGACCCTCATTAGCGACTCCATCATGGGCTTTGGGATCCAGCTCCAAGGAGGAGTCTTTGCCACAGAAACCCTGTCCTCTCCACCGCTCATCGCTTACATAGACCCCGACAGTCCGGCAGAGCGGTAAGATCACCGAACACGACTTATATTAATCTCCAGTGCCTCATTTGACCTAGTTAAAACTCTGAGTTTTAATATTCCAGAAACCCTTCCACAGATCGCAGCGCTCGGTGCAGCTTAATTGTTTGCGTTATCAGAGAACTGTGAACTTCCCTTTGGGAATCTTGAATATTTAATCTCGATTCTAATTTTGATTATCTGAACACATCCCAAAGCCCACAGTTATTTCATCACTGCGCTGTTCTCACAGCTTATAACTTGTCCTCCGCAGAGCCACATCTCCATCGATGATATAATGTGTTGATCACACATGATATATAACTGCAAGGCCATGACGATCTGATTTCCAGTCTGCTTGGGCTGTGATTGACTACACCGTTACGTGATAGAGCAAAGCACTTAACTATAATTACCTGAGCGCCAGAGCCTCAGCTGGCATCCACATGAACTTGCACGTCGACTGACGGGGATTTACATTCTAGCTTCACTGTAATTACTGACCTAAGCAACAGAAATGACTTCTCGCTGCCAGTTGAATTTGTAATTGCAGTGATTGACATAAACCTTCTAATGTTGAGGATTTGATAAAGATCTACCGGCGTTGGGGAACAAAAGTAGCGATGCTGTCAACTTAACATTTTTCTACTGTGAAAACAAATCAAGTTTTTACAATAATGTCGCTTTTTCCAGTAACAAGCTATTAAAAAAGCACAACAGTGCTATTTGTTGTATTTCATTGTACTGTATGTGCATCTTTTTATTGAATCAATTTGCGTTTTTACATTTTTTTTGCATCGTTATACAAAATACTACAATGTCTGTTACAATAATTTACTAAATAACATTAGTTGTCAATGGATTATGTTAGTTACTGTATATAAATGGTGTTTTTTATTATTATTATTATTTGATTTAGTATTCTATGCTGTTTAATGCCATCATACTATTTTTTTGTGCCAGATTAATACTGCTATCATTGCAAAAAATGCAATATATAATAGTTTAAAAAAGCAATTGCACCTTACAGTAATATAGCTGCAAAAATGCATGTCCACGATGTCTGTTAAAGAGTTTATCATCATGCATCATGTTGTAATTATTAATGTGTGCACACATCTGATTAACATCAGATTTTACTATTCTAATCACACTGCAATGCAAATGAGCAAACACTCTAAAGATTTAATCCTCCAGATAAAAAAACACACACACACAGAAAAGTATGCATGCTACCAGCCCAACCTGTTTCTATATAGTAACTAAGGCTGTCAACCTTTAAAAAGAACAAAAAAGCACCATAAAAGTCAATCTTTCCCTCCAACATAGCTTTAAAATCACCAAATCACCAAAACGTCATTGGTTTTTGTCGCTAATCACAATGTGACGTGACACTGTAATTGTAATGTAGACGTGAATTTTCTGTAAAGCTGCTTTGAAATGATATGTATTGTGAAAAGTGCTATACAAATAAATGTGAATTGAATTGAATTGTTGTTGGTAGGGATGCTAGCAGCCCACGCTGGATACCAGCATGTAAAATACAGCATATGATTCATGATGACTAGCTTTACTGAAATTTTTCGCAGTGAATTCATAAGCAATACTGCTTCTGTTTAGCTCATAAGCCATTTTGGAATTCAATAAAGAGAGGGTTTTTTTTGTTCCCTCAGCAATTAAAAAGAGCTTATACTCTAACCTTGAGGCAGGAGCTAAGAGGACGTTTGTATTTTTGCCTAAAATGTCACTTCAACTCACTAATGTCTATTTAACAGTGCCAGATGGCATAATATAAGTGGTTGGTTGGTCTATGCGAGACATTGCCCGGGTACCATTACCTATTTTGTCTCCCTCTGCAAGCAGTCCATTATTTAGTATTTTATGCATTCAGCACAGCTAGTCTGTTGGCCAGTGTATGAGGAATGGTGTGGTAAATCTGCTCTCTGTGCACAGGTGCGGCATCCTGCAGATCGGCGACCGCATCCTGTCAATAAACGGCATTCCCACTGAGGACAGCACGCTGGAAGAGACCAATCAGCTGCTGAGGGACTCCAGCATCACCAGCAAAGTCACACTGGAGATTGAGTTTGACGTAGCAGGTGGGGACACAATTCATCAATTCCAAACCTGTTTGAGGAGGAAGGATCCATCTGGGCATAACCCGCGTTCATCCTAGTGTGTTTAAATTTTTTTAAAGTTATGCCATAATTCTGGGAGCCAAACCATCTGCCGTCTATTTGATGTATATAAATGAGTAGTGCTGCAAGACAAGTGGCCCATGATTTAATAGCTACTGTTTCCAGACAGAAAATCCAAAATACATTCTCTCATTTTTCCATCTCGTGCTGTGCTTTGGCATTGTAATCACAGTACGGGCCTCGTCGAACGCCTGTAGTCCTTGAGACGTGCTGTAATTAGCTTGTCATCCTAGTGTTTTGTCTTGTGTAAAATTTGGTATGATATTTAATTAGTTTCTTTCATTTAGTTAATCAGAAATCTTTTAAATTGTGTTTGTGATGACATAGACCGCCTACTGTCCTTTAACAATATGCGTATAGCTCACAAAAACGAGTATAAGCTCTAATCTGACTTTATGCAACTTCTGTCTGTAAGGGCTTAAATGCTGTTTAACCCTCTGGGGACTAAGCCCTTTTTGGTCCGTTTTCTCTATTTTTACATTTGGGCTTATAAACCATATGTAATGGAGATGGATCACTATGTGTTTGGTATCTATGGATTCAGAAGACCCTAAGATAACATAAGAATGCATGTAATGTGTTTATAAAGGAAGTATGAGTGAAAAATGTACTATAAACTAGAGAATTTCAAAAACGGAAATTAGATTTTCCTCATTTATTTCTGAAAATCACACATCACACAAAAATAGTGAACAGTTTTTGTACAAAAAATATATTTGTCAAAGCCTTTGCTTGACAGACATGTGTAATTGTTAAATAAAATGTGTAAAGAACAATGAAAAATGTAACTTTATTTACAAATAGTCCCAGGCGTTTTTCATAGGAATGCTTAGAATTTTCTAAGCAATGCCTTCTCCTCGTCACTCTCCAGTAATTGTTCCAGAGCTTGTTCCACCGTAAATCGTTTACTGCTTGCCATCATAAAAGTGCTAAAACAATAAATAATGCTATAATTGTATGTATGTGTATATATATATATATATATATATATATATATATATATATATATATATATATATATATATTATAATTGTTCTGTCTCTCTCTCTCTCTCTCTCTCTCTCTCTCTCTCTCTCTCTCTCTCTCTCTCTCTCTCTCTCATATAAATCTCTGATAATCCGCTCCGTAAGCCTACGTTCGCTCTCTCTCCTTCTCTCCATTCAACGCTGTTTGCGTCATATCCCTAACTATATAGTACCACCCCTTGCAAGGCTACAGAGTCCTCTGATTTGCTAGAAAGGTCATGGTAACCTTCCTCTGATTGGGTAAGAAAAATATTTCTCCATCGGCAATTTTTCAATTGGTTGTTGTTTGCGGAATCTGCCCAACAACATCGATTTCATTGGCCTTTTACATAGTGGTATTGCGCAACAAAGAAGTGTGTATATTTACAAAGCCGGGTATCACTGTTTTCAGCGGAATCTGAGGAAGACGGTAAAAAAGACCGCAGCTCTCTATCATTAATAGTTTTTAAGATAATTACACATTTGTAAAAGTATGCCATTTTGGGCGGTACCGCCCAATCCGTCCCCAGAGGGTTAATCAAAGTTCACAAACTTTATTCTTATGTACTGCTCCGAGACTTGGGTCAAAACGCAAGCTTTATTGAGAGTAATCCATAATCGTAATCCATAAAAGAGGCATAAGGTCAAACCCACAGAGCAAACCACCCAGATAATGACCAAAGACCAAGGCATAGGAAAACAGGGAAATCCAGGGAGACAGGCAGAAGATCAAGACCATCTCTGAAACCAGAAGTAGCACTGTGCAGTGTAACACCAACAAGACTTTGCAAAGAAAGAATGAAAACACTATACTGTATATAGGAAGGCCTTAACAAGACAATGACACACTGCTGAACCTAGAATGATAGAATCCTCCTAGAGTCTTGGGATCAGTTTTATTTATTTTTGTGAAGAATTTAATACTTTGATTCTGCGAGGATGCATTGATCAAAAATGACAGTAAATACATTTAAAATATTGCAAAATATTTCTATTTTAAATATATGCTCTTCTTTTGAATATTTTATTCATCACATAATCCAGGGAAAAAGTGGTTTTAAGCTGCTGAAACTGTTCTCAACAAGTTTGATGATATTATATTAATAAATGTTTGTCGAGCATCAAATGCGAATATTAGAATGATTTCTGAAGGATCATGAGGCGCTGAAGACTGGAGCAATGGCTGCTGAACATTCAGCTTTGCCATCACAGGAATAAAGTACATTTTTGAACATATTAAAATAGAAAAACAGTATTTTGAATTTGATATTTCTCAATATTACTGTTTTACTGTATTTTTGGTGAAATAAATGCAGCCTTGGTGAAGGTAAGAGACTTCTTACCGAAATCTTACCTTCCCCAAACTTTTGAATGTTATAAGCTATGTATGCCTAACTTGTTCATTGAATTTGGAAACTTTTTGTCATATTTTTATAACAAGCCATGAACGTACCCTAATTTGCACGAACCACTTATTTACATTCTGCGACATTGAATGTAAATCTTCCTTGCAACCCAATAAAATGTAAATATTTTACCACAGAACAATAAAATCTGCTTTTGAAAGGATGTGCTGGAAGGAGAACGACTTGATAGTGTTTTTGCTTGTGCGTTTTTTTTTTTTATAGTTCAGGCCAAGTGTTTTTGAAAGACTCTTTTGTTGATTTGGAAGAAATGAGTTGGCTTGAATTACTGCATGATCATTTCAAGAGTTTTCTTTTTTTTGACGCTTTGACACTTCTGTCATTCTTTTTGAGTCATTCACTGCCCAGAGGAGAAGGACATATTTTATGGAGATTTCAGTCTTTCAGACTGAGGATTCTGGGCTTCTGTCAGAAAAGATCATCTACATCGCTGCCTGAAAGAAAGTCTGAATTTTTTACAGCTGTCTCCAAGTCACTTTAAAGAGTTCACCCAAAAATGAATGTTCTGCTAGCATTTACTCTACTTTCTTTCTTGCATGTAAATCAAAGGAGGTAAATCCACTATGGTCACCATCCACTTTCATTGTATGAAAAAAAAAAAAAAAAAAGCAGCTTGGACATTCCACTAAACATCTAATTTTGCACCCCATTGAAAAAAAATAATTATAATCATACAGGTTGGGAACAACACGAGGGTGAGTAAATGATGACGTGTTGGTTTGTCAACAAGTGTTGGTTTGGTCTTTCACCTGAATCTCCACATTTCAGTTTCAGAATGGTCTATGAATCCAGACTTGATGAAACTTGAGAATGATTATATGGATAGACCTGCATCTAAACATTAATTTTTTTTCATCCAGAATCGGTCATTCCAAGCAGTGGGACCTTCCATGTGAAGCTACCAAAGAAGCCAGGTGTGGAGCTGGGCATCACCATCAGCTGTACGTATTCTCTCAGTTCTTCTATGCATAATAATGGCTGTCTATGCTCATGGTGCATGTTAAGGCAAGAAACAGTATTACTATTGATAAAGAATATGAAAAACACAAGGTCAATGGTTTGATTCCCACATCTGCATCTGCCAAATGTAAATGTAAGAAAGAAGGCCTATACAGTGAGAGACTGTTGTTAAAAAAAAACTTATAATTTCCCACATTCCCATTTGAAACTTAAACTGCAGTCTTATTTGCCTTGTTGTGCATTACCCAGGCCACACATTTAAAAGACTTCACAATTGGGTCTTCCTTCACTCCCTATATCACGGAGATATAAATATGTGACATTTTACCCTTGTTTCAGTTCCAAGGACATTAAAGAGACACAACTGGGTGACTTATTATTGGGTTACTGGGGGGAAAAAAGGTAGCTATTGCTTATTAGGGTACTGGGGGGAAAAAAATATTTCTTACTCAGAGGGTTTGTGCTTATTTATAACATTTTTTGAGGTTCTGCATGACAAGAAGCACCTAATTATATATTACCTCTCATTTATTGCAATTGTAAATTTAATTGCTAGGAACTGACTGTAGGTCACAGTGGCTGCATCCAGAAGGCAGTTTCATTGTATTGTGTTGTGTGTGATGTGTTTTTGTGTATGAAGGTCTTCCAAGGCACCATAATGTCACATCTAAAGATCTATAATGAATTCAAGTTTATTTAGGCTTTAGGGATAACCAAGATAATATTTTGTGACAAATTGTTATCATGATCAGACGTAATTTGTATTTTGGAAACCATTTGCTGAACACATATTGGATTGTGGGATATTATACTTTTTGAACCATCATCTCCCAAAAGCCCATAAATAGTGCTTTCTTTTATGGAAATAAATACCAAACTATTCCCTCCTTCCTCCAAAGATACTGTATCTTCTCTCCTGTTGTGTCATTTGTTTAAATCACCAGATTTTTTGGAAAGGTGTTTATAGACGGATCTGCCTGCGAATTCAATCTGTTTTGTGCCTGCAGTCAGGGGCTCTGCAGTGCTCGTTCGTAAACCCCACGCGCCGAACGCTCGAAGCCTTTGCCAGCTGCTTCATCAATGCCCGCCCGCATTGTCAAGCGAGAGTGATTCATCACCTCATCCCAGCTCGGTTTTGTCACATTGACTGTTTTCCCCATTACAGCAATATGATACAAACTTTCTGTTATTAGCCAGCGGTTTCGTGAAATGCATTGCTGGACCCCTATGCAACAACCCAGCAGTAATTGCTTCTCGCTGAAACTGTGGAGTTGTTTACCTCCAAAGCAATTTTTCCCGTCATCCTCCATGCTTTCTAAATAAGTATTTATTATGTTTCTGGTGTACAAGTTGTGTGTAGTCCTCACATTTGTTGCTAATGTGTTTGGGCAAATTCTCCCAGGATTGGCTATGAAGATATACACAGCCCAAAGATAATAGCAAACAGTTCCCAGTAAAGCTTCTTTGTGGGTTTTTACAGCTGTCTGAACTTCCTTAATGAAGCAGACGAACTATTTTGCCAGTGCTAAAGTACCGCTGTAACTGCTTTTCGGATCATTAAAAAATAGTTTTTTTAATGGTTCCCATTCCTCTGCATCTTCTCAAAATCTCCATTCAATGAACATAATAGTTCAGTGGTTCCCAAACCTGTCCTGGCGACCCACCAACACTGCACGTTTTCTTTGTCTCCCTAATCAAACACACCTGATTCAACTCATTAGCTCATTAACCCATGTGATAATGAGCTGATGAGTTGAATCAGGTGTGTTTGATTAGGGAGACAAAGAAAACGTGCAGTGTTGGTGGGTCGCCAGGACAGGTTTGGGAACCACTGTTAAATAGTTCATCCAAAAAGGAAAGTTTGTTTTAATTATTCACCTTTTTTTTTTGTTCCAAAATGGTATGAATTTATTCTATGCATCACAAAAGGAGAAATTCTGAATAATAGATTGATGAATGGCGACTGGAGCTTTCAAGATTCAAAAAGCTGCAAAAGGAAGTACCATAAAAGTGTTCTATGTGACTGTATTACATAGAAACCATATAATTGCTTTATGTGAGGAAATGTATGTAATTCATCACAAATTAGACATTAATGGATAATAACATAACCCTTACATTTTTGGTCTGTTCCTCACAAAAATATTAAATGATGTGCACAAAAAATATAGTGCACATATAAGTATTTTTTGCATCCTTTTTGAAACTTATCAGCCCCATTCGTTGTAAATGCATGGAAAAGAGCAGCATGCACATTCATAAAAATATCTTCTTTTGTGTTCACAGAGGAAAGTAAGTCATTTGGTTTGGAACTACATAAGCAAGTAACTAATGATATTATTGTATTTATTGGCTGAACTATCCTTTTAAGACTCATCAGAGATCAGAGAGTTTGCATTGAATGGTTTGAGCTCTTGTTCTTAACTAATCAAGACAGTGCTGGAGGATATGTGCACTTTATTAAAGTCTGCTTTAATAGAAATAGAAATATACACACACACACACACATATATACATACACAGTATATGCAAAGAAAATCTGCTCAATTATGCCTCCATTTGGTTCAGGGCCTGCAGGATGTCTGAGAAATTCAACTTTTATGGAATGAGAAGAGAATGAGAGAAAGAGAGAGAGAGAGAGAGATGTAGGGTATCCTATCCACATGTCGATTTATGTATATGGGCTTAGCGGAGCTCTCGTGACCTTTCGGAGCAGTTTAATGGCTTTCTGCTTTGTGCCTCTGTAGGGCCTGTATTTCACAGGTACTAATAAAGCCATAGTGGAACACATTTATAGATGTCTTGTTTACTTCCCCTTGAGGGGGGGAGGGGGGACATTGTGAAATCCATAAAAAATAGATTTTAGTCAGATTTATATATGAAGTGGGTTGTAAACACCATATTTCACATGTTTTCTGACTGCTTAGACTGCAGATTTGATTTAAATAAAAAATATGTTGACTTAAACAGCAAGATTAATTCATAAGAAATGCTTTTGAAGATCACCATAGTAGTTTTACTGTATAAACTGGATCAGATCAACCTCACAGCAAAGGTTTACTACATAGTTGTTCTAGTTTGACCCTAAGCTTGTGTAAAGATTGACATTCACCTGGCCAGACCAATATGAGCAGGCAAGGTGCAGAGACTGCGAATGGGCCACGCTATTTATCATGGTTAGGCCAAATAGCAGTGCAAGTAATAGGGGAAAACTATGACAAATAAGCCACCATAGCAACAATGTTGCCGCCAACCAGGAAGCAGGCAGGAGATGGCTGTGCTCTTCCTTTCTGAATGTCATAATGTAGCTTGCCTGTCAAATAAGAATCATCTTGCTGCTTGATTTACTATCAAGAGTGCCTGTTTATGTGAGAAGTCATTCCTCTGTTTTTTTTTTGCTCTGTATACTTGCTATAAAATTCATCAGAGCTTCACGGAGTTGAAAGGCTGTGCTTTGATGTGCACCATCTGAAGGTGACATCACGCCGCTGTAACTGTAATGCAGCATATGGCGAGGTGCCTTTAAGGCCAGCGTACATGTGCACTCTTTGAGCTGAGCAGAAAACATGATTATTTCTTTGGTCCGAGAACTCACTAACATTTGGAAATTGAATTGTCAGATAGGCTACACCTCAGCTGCATTGCTGACACTTTGACAATTTGCTTGTTCAAATCTATCTCGCTCTGATTGACATCCTTAAAGCAATTTCTTTCCTCTTTTAGACTGCTAGTGCTGTAGCCTGTACCATCGAGACTGAATCTTTGACCTTTCTCAGTTGAATCATCCTGGAATTAATGTTCTCTTTCAACTGACAAACCTCTCTGACTTGCTTTGTAATTTGAAAGTGGAAAGCTCTAATTTCATTTTAGCTAAATAAAGCCATTACAGAAAAAAAGGCATCAGACATGCTTTTCCCCCTTTACTTTTTATAGTTACATTTTAATATATATGAGTATAAAGTGTATTCTGCCATTTTTTTTACCAAACGGAGCGCTTTTTCATGGCTTGTTGTGCTTACGCAGTCAGAAATGCACAAAATGATGTAAAAAATGCCCGTCTTGTGGAGTATTCACATAAACACAGACAGTGATGTCTTGAGTGAATGTAAACAGTTTAGAAAGAAAACTCATGTGTAACAGTATATTGGATCCATGCATTAGCTCTTAAAGTGACATGATCAGCCTAATATATCTGCTGCTGTCTGTCATTAATTTTAGTGAAAAGATAGTGAGAAAAATTTATCTGTATTTAATTTATATAATGAAACATTTGGTTTATTCAACTTCTAGTATTACTGTACCTGAATACTGTTAGACCTACCCGAAAACCTTAAAGCTCTCTTTATTTCATTTGTATTTATTTCTGATGCTGCTTGTAATTTGTTTATTTGTTCTTGTTTATTTATCAATTCAAGGTTGAAATCAAGCTTTCTTGTGCTGTGTGTAAACTCATGTGCAACAAAATTACCCCATTGTTAAAAGAAAATAAATCCTTAAAGTGAGCAAAATTTAAAAATGCTCCCAAATTAAAAAATCCCCACCTAAGAGGGGAATCCCCCCCTGCACCCACCCACCCATTTTCCAAAATGAAATCAAATAATCCATCATATAACCTTGTGAAACCTCTCAAGTAATCAAGCTTTTCTGTCAATTGGAGCTTGTCTTATTGCAGGGTTGTTGTCGGACCATAACAACCCACCAAAGAAAACCTCTGGGACTGTCTGTCCGACACAGACACATGCTCGGCATCTCAATGCGTAGAGCTTAAAGAACAGACCCCCATAAGGCAGCATAGGACGATCACTGACAGGCTACACAGAGCATCAGAATTGATTATGATTAACTTGCGCCACCATCTGGGATGCATATTAGGTTGAAAAGTGAGCAGGATTAACAAAGGAGTTTATTTTTCTTATTCTAAGTGAAAAAGACACAACCTTCCAGTCTGCCAGTGACGCACTAAGCGAACATGAATAACCCTGAGCTCTGACTGAGAGTAAAATGCTCTGGCGCGTCACTCTAGAAGTTGATATCACACCTCCAGATGCTCCTGGTAGGCTAGGGACCATATGACATGTGATTATGCACTCACATCTGTCGCCTCGGTACACCAGAATGTGACTAGAGCTGCTAAAAAGGTCTATTTTTCATACTGACGTAATGGCTCTGTTCCAAATCCTAGAGAGCTGGCAGCATTTTTAGGCCCATTTATATTATTACACATATTCCAAAATGTCTGAAATCACAAAATGGGTAGATTATTTAATTATTTTGGACAAAAGTTTGGGAGTTATATATATAGCCTAAGCCTATATGCTGGGCTTGTCTGGTTTGGTCTGTTGGCAGGTTTTAGAGAGGTTTTAACCCCACTAAGCCAAGCAACCCATCTTAGGCTGGTTTAAGTTTTTTTTCTTCTTTTTTTTTCTTCTGCAGAGTGCTTTCTTTGTGGTTAAAAATATCATTTTTATATATGAACTATTATTTGCTGGAAGATTGCCACCCACACGGCTCTGTGGAAAATATGCATCTCGATTGTCAATCAGTTGGAGTGGCATATTTTACAGTGTCATCATGTCATTCTCCAAGCTGGAAAAATGCTAAATCGACAACAAAAACCATCAGTTCCGACTAGACTGGACTGACAACTACTTGACAACTACCGAAAGCAACTAGTTCTCCACCAACCAAGTCGATACAAAGCTTTTACTGTGTCATCAGATTTACTCTCACCAATTTTAAAGACACTTTTGTCAGCAAGACAGAACCTTTAAAAGTGCTGTACCTTTAAAAATGTGAAGTTATAATCCAAGAATGACTCAGTTAAATAATCAGCAGTGTTGCCTACAGAAAATGAGTGATGTTGTGCTATTAAACAAGTTTGATTGTTCTCCTCTCTCTTCACAGCTCCTTCCAGTAGGAAGCCCGGAGATTCGCTCATCATCTCTGACATAAAGAAAGGCAGCGTTGCGCACAGGTACCGCCTCACGCCATTGTCTTGCACCGCATCTCTTTTTAAATGTATAGAAAAATGCTCATCTCATGCAAAACAACTCATATATACAGCCTCCAGCACATTTACACCCAGCAACATCTCAAGCTTCGCTATATTAAATAAAAAATACATAATAGATGGATTACATTTTATATCCAAGTGCGAAATGTTTCACTCGATATAACGTGCTCTAAAGCATAATGCCCATCATCAAACAGTTTGACCCAGCTTAAACGTTTTTGGGAAGAAAATAATTCTCTTTCAAATAAATACTGTTTTTTTTAAACTTTCTATTCATCACCAAATCAGCATTATAATGAATTTAGAAGGATCACGTGACACTGAAGACTGGAGTAATGATGCTGAAAATTCATTTTGGCACACGTCAGCACTTTATTTCTGAACTCTCATCCAAATCAGCTCTTCATCCATGCCTTAAATACTGTTCTCCAACTAGACCCAAATGGCTAATATAATGACATCTGCGCACAGAATTGAGCATGACTACGAGCGTATGCTATCTGCATCGACTTGCCAAAGCATTCTTATGAATATGCTCATTTTGTCCAGGATACAGTGGAGTGCGGCTGGGAGAACGCGTAACCCTCCGTATTGACATAAATCTCAGAGGTTGCCCTGAGGAAAGGTGTAGAGTGCTGTTTGACTGCACTGTTGTTGATTGTGAGGTCTATACGGGCCTGTTCGCAGTAAAAATCTAATCTAGCTGCACTCTAAAAATTGACTAGCTTAGATTTATTTTCTTTAAAATAACTTTTCACTCATAGCTCGAGATATGGTACTTTTCAAAAGTTTGGGGTTTTAATTCATTTAAAAGTGTCTCATGTTCACCAAGGCTGCATTTAATTGCTCAAAAATGGAAAAATAGTAAAATTGTGAAATTTTACAATAACAATTTTTATTGTTAATATATTAAGTAATTTATTCCTGAATTTCCAGCAGCCATTTTTCCAGCAGCCATTAGTAGTATTCAGTGTCACATGATCCTTCGGAAATCATTCAAATATGCAGATTTTCTGTTTAAGAATCAATTATTTGTTCATATTAATGTTGAAAATTGTTGTGCTGCTTCATTTTATTGGAAACTAATACTTTTTTTCAGGATTCTTTGATGAATGAATTTCAAAAGAACAGCTTTTATTAAAAATAGAAATGTTTTGTAACATAAATGTCTTTACTGTCATGCTTTTAAAGCATTGTTGATATATTGAATTATTCATTCCTTTGAAAAGAAGTCTTACTGACCTCAAACTTTTGAATGGTAGTATACTTTCCTTTCTCAAGCTCAACTTTCATTTCTAACTTCTAACTAGGCTAACAAAGCTGAAAAAAGTATAAATTCTCCATGGTAATAGTTAGGGTTGTTGGGGGATGCTGTATACCAAGTAATTAAGGCTCTTTCAGCACATATACTCTAATTTCCCCTACTTTTACATAATAGAACATATGTTTACCGGATAATTATGCGAGAAGGAGAGAGAATTGGGTTATGAATCAGAATCACTGTGTACAGTGTAGTGGTTAAATGCAGGTCTGTTGAGATGTCGATGTTAGAAGGCCTTGGCTCTTGCAATCTTTCACATTTTGCTCTCCTCCATTTCAGCTCTATTAAAAGGGCCTAAAAATAAGTGAGCCATTTAATATGAAGAAGTGGTGGAATAAGTGTGAATTCAGGCAGGATTACATCTCAATGTCTAATCTGAATATGGAACGACACAATTATGACCAATACGATAAAAGTAAGGGGTTTTTTTTTGGCTTCAGATCTATCTCAGCGCCTCTGGAAGCTCTTTGCTGTGTACCATGGTCAATCCACTGAATAATGGATGTGTTTTCTTGCAGAATGTGAGCTCAGACTACAACGAAATGAGTGTAAATGTATGCATGAGGGAGAAAATAACCTTTCCTTCAAAATATTGCAAGACGAAATGGAGATTTGCTGTATGGCAGAGGAAATGTTACAGTGGTTGTGCTTCTGCAAAAAGCTTGTAACGGTTTTTCCGTGTACTCTTCAAAGAACGGGCACCCTGGAGCTGGGGGATAAGCTCCTGGCAATAGACAACATCCGCCTGGACAACTGCTCCATGGAGGACGCGGTTCAAATCCTGCAGCAGTGCGAAGACCTGGTTAAACTCAAGATCCGCAAGGACGAGGACAACTCAGGTACCTCTGAGCCTCTGCAACTACACACTCCACACGGACACAAATGTACTCTAAAAATCCCCATGCAAGGACAGAACACATCAGCAAAGACTTCTAATGCGAACGTATTTTGGCCAGGATCAAGATAAAGAATAAGCTATTAGGACCTGACTGATTAACCTATTCTAATGTAATATGGTTTCAACCAGATACGGCAAGGACAGAAAAAGGACAAGATAAGAGAAAACATGAAAGCATTATTAGGCATGAATCCCTTAAAGTACAGAATACAGATAGGCATCACGTAGGGCTGGGATATACAGAGAAAACAAGTATATTTTGATATTTTTCACCTTATATGACCATATAATTCAATATATTAATATTAGTAATATATTTAATGTATTTATATAATTAATATGATTAAAAGTTATCAAATAGTTAAAAGCTGTCAAATCGATTTATCACATCTAATGTGAAAGTTTGTGTACACGCATGTATGCATATATACATATATACATATATAAATATTTGTATATGTATATGTATCTATATATATATATATATATACACACACATCACACACATTTATTAATTTATATATATATATATATATATAAATTAATAAAGTATATACACACACAAATACTACATAAATACAAGCTTTTATGTTATACGTGATTTACGATTCATCGCTTTGATAGCACTAATATATATATATATATATAAATATATATATATATATATATATATATATAATGATGAATATTTTAAGGCTTTCATTTTAAGAAAAAAGGCCAGCGTGGATTTTCATTGACATTTTTGATTAATTGACTTGAGTAAATTGTTGAATCAAATGAATGAATTTAATAATTGAAACGGACCACTTGAAATGAATCACAGAAAATGAATCGATCTTACCAACTCTTCTTGCATTTTTTTGCTGAAGATGTCTTTTCAATGTGATGTTTGCAAATCACAAGACAAGGATAGATCGGGAAATTAGTATAATGACACGCTCTTTAGAGAACTTAATGGAGAGTTAAAAACACTTTAAAACCGTGATATGCACAGTGTTTCTTAAAGGTTAGGGTTTTACACATAAATAAATGAATAGTACTTTAGAAAGATTACTGACAGTCAAAATTGAACATAAAAGTTTTATTTTACATGGAGCCAAGAAATCGAGATCAGATGGCCTGCTAATGCTACTCATTTATGGGTCAAACCTGTTAAATGAATCACTGTATAACTGAAGTTCACTGTATAAATGAATACAAGTTTTTATAAATGTATTTGACTATTCAATACATCGCCCCCGCCTTAGAGCCTAGTTATACTGCTTGGTGGTTTTGTAACCGTTTAAAGGGATAACTCAGTCAAAAAAGAAAACCTTGTTCCAAACCCGAATTACTTTTTTGTTATTATACATAAAACTGGCCTCTACTTTAAGTTGAGGTAGGATTTGAAGTGGCTATGCTGTCAGAAATGTCACAGTGAGATCTTTATTATCTCCAAAGGACCTTCTGGTAAACCTTTCGCTTCTTCTTTTGGGTTACAGCAACACACACATCTCTCCTCGCTTCCACAACCTCACAATTCACCCTTAACACTATTAGCATTGTGCGCACTGAAGAAAATTAGGTTTAATCGCTTCAATTTAATGCTCGTTCGGTTCAATTATCCGATTAGAAACCCTTGGAGCCCTTATCAAGCGTCTCAAAAGCATTTACCCACAATCCTCTGCTTCATAGTCTTCTACTGGGGTGTTGCGCTTGTACTACAAAGCAGACCTGCGAATCACTTTTATTTGGCATTTATATTTCATCCAGGACGTCCACTGTGTCCGTGAAATGGCACCTTGTGTTTCAGATCCTCGCCCGATGCTGGAGGCTCGTTTAGATCTTTCTCGCTGGGAACATTAAGGTCGACATTCATTTTTCACAAACCCTTTTTTTTCTGTGACAACAAATCATCAGTCTGAGAGAGGTCGTGCTAACTGGCATGCTAAATAGGGGTAATTTTCCTCCCATCTCTCCATTAGTCCATCACCGAACAAAACAAAGGCATAATGAGCCGACCTCGTGTTAACGAACATCCCCAGACCCCCAGCACAGACACACAAACACAAACCTAGAGCTGCTGTGATCTGACAGAGACCAGCGCTTCATAAGTATGTGGATGGGGGTGGGAGATGACAACGATTGCCCCGAGGATCTGCGGGATTTTTCTCTTTAGCGCATTCCTTTCTCGGTGTAGTCATGTCAAAACGTCAGGTTGACCTCTTAATTGGTGTTGAGCATTATGAATCAGCGCCACACATATTTTAAAAAACACTTTCAAGTGAATTTTTGTGTTGCTATAGCCACATCTGCACTTGAGTGCATACAAAATGAGTTCAGTCTTATAATTAATTTACATTATGATTCTTGTAGCTCAGCTGGTAAAGCAACTAGCACAGAGAATCCCCTGAGGACACACATACTGATATTATATACAGCTTGAATGCACTAAGTCACTTTGGGGGGAAAAGGAATGTCTGACATCTGAAATGCATTGGGGGTCCAGGCTATGGAGGCTCAGTTCTCCTTTGGATGATAATATGTATGATTTGTAGAGGTAGGTGTAGTATCCATTTCTGAAATGGATCACAGAGCCGATATCCCATTTTTTTTGTATTATGCATGTGAATATCTCCATTTTGCCACTCACTTGTATTTTCTCTTTCTCATTTTTTTTTCTTTTCTGGATGCACCACTTCCATTATCTTACATCATTCTTCTCTTGAATTGCCTTTACTTCCTTTCCCATTCTTCCTGCTTTTCGTTCCTCCAGTTTCTTACTTTTTGTGAGCATCATCAGACATCACTTTTACTTTGTTAGGTTGTTTTTTGGGGTGTTGTCAATGAATTAGCAATTGTAATAGAATTAATTAATGTGCGAATACTCTGTAAAATAGGAGGAGGTTTCCTCATTGGTTTTTTACAGGTGTTTTACCTGTATTTTGTGTTTTTTGGGTTAACAGAAATTTCCGTAAAATTACTGGACAATGTCGTGACAGAAAATTACCAGTACATTTTCTGTTTTTATTTTTTGCAGTGCAAATCATATGCAATCTGAAAATTATATATAGTTGGATTAAAAATGTCCGATTACAACAGTTGCAGAGGTAGGACTGGTCAGTAAATGGATTTTTTTTCTTTTAGGACAGGACTTGGCGAATGTTCAATTGCATGTTAAATTGACAGCCCTAGTATTTTTATCCCATTTCTATTTGTTTCCTTTGGGTTCCTCTTCCCTCATGTTTTCGCTTTATTTTCTGGTCAATCCTCCTTACCTCCTCTCTCTGTCCGGTGTTGTGAGGGGTGTCTTCGCTCTGCTCTCTGCCCCTCTGTGAGGTATCCTACGTGATGGCAGTGTTGATAGGGACGCCCGTGTGCTGTTGGCCTGTGTTGCAGACGAGCAGGAGACCTCCGGCGCCATCATTTACACGGTGGAGCTGAAACGCTACGGCGGGCCGCTGGGCATCACAATCTCGGGCACCGAGGAGCCCTTCGACCCCATCATCATCTCCAGCCTCACTAAAGGCGGCCTGGCCGAGAGGTACGGCTCTGTTCGTGCTTTCAAGCCTGTCAACAGTTATGAAATATCACACTTAAGATAAATATACACGTGATATCTTAAAAAGGAACTTTTTTTTTTTTTTTTTACATTTTTACTTTCTTTAGTGTGTAATGTTGCTGTTTGAGCAAGAAAAAGGTCTGCAAAGTTATAAAGCAAAGTCCACTCCAAAAGGACGGAGTTAACACCACAACTATACTGTAACAATAACGGCACAAAGAAACTATATCGTCGGATCTTTTTTTTTTTTCTAGATGATGAATGATAAACACATTGACAGCCAATCCATTCTGCTTTAAGAGTTCAAACATTTAAGTGGCAGACGACAAAACTGCAGTGCGCGCTTAACAGAACGATATTGTGCGTTATGTGACAGTTATGAAACGCTCAAAATGGTTGAAAGGTCACAAAACATTGGTTGAGCCGACCAATCAGAGCACATTGTGCTTTTCGGGAAGGAGAGGCTTCATAGAGACTCAAACTGAACAGTGTTACTGACAGACTGGGAAGAGAGGTGCTGCAACAATGTGAAAAATTAGGGGTTTTTTTTATTCAAGCATGAAAACCTATTCTAGTAGACACCAAAAACAAAATCATGACTTTATAAAAAGGGCATAATAGGTCCCCTTTAAGTCATGTCTTCAGTAAAATATATATTATAAATAAAACTATATTATATAATTTGAATGGTAATTATATCATTATAATAATTAATATATTTATATATATTTAATTAGAATTTCCTTTTCTCAGAAAGTACTGAATATGTTAATGTGTTGCCGTAGGCATTAATCGCAATTACACGGTTTAATCTATGGACAGCCCTAGTTAATTTGAATGAATGCATGTTTTCAACAAGGAAAAAAAAGGGCTTTTGAAATGATGCATTGCAGCTGAGTTGCTGTGCTCTTGTTTCCACAGGACTGGTGCCATCCACATTGGTGACCGCATACTGGCCATTAACAGCAACAGTTTGAAGGGCAAACCTCTCAGTGAGGCCATCCACCTGCTGCAGATGGCAGGAGAGTCCGTCACGCTGAAGATCAAGAAGCAGGGAGAATGTGAGTGCTGACATGCAAGCTTACGACCAAATGGCTTTTTATATGTACACTACAAAAGAACACACTTCTCATGATCCTTAAAACCTTCGAAGCCAAAGGCTTATGCTAAAATGCACAAGTTAGTTTTGTGTACAAATATAAATGTACAATTGTTATACAATTGTTAATTGTTATAAATGTTTCAATGTATAAATGAAATTTTAATTATCATTTACTAATTGTTATTCTCTAATTGTATTTTTCGAAAACATTATTTTTCTTATTATATTTCCCAAACTTTTGATTGGCACATTCTTTGCATTTATTTTCTCGTCGCTCTTTCTCACACACATTACCTCCCACAGTACTGTACATCTAACTGTAGCTCTAAAATGCAATAAAGCTGCCTAGCTGTAAGTCATTAAAGCCTAAGGCCTAAATAGTTTTGTCTCCATCTATCATATACTGTAGACTGACAGTAGACAAAGTAAAGTTCCTTTTTCAAGAGCAAAAGATCAAATGAGCACTGATTTGTGAGCCTAATATCCAGTAAAGTCTGGATCTCTCTGGTCTATTGACTGTGATCCGAGGGCTCAGACAATCCTCGTCTTTATATCATTCTTTCTATAGTGCCAAGCCCAAAGCAGCCCTCGGTTACGGGTCGCATGAATGATCTGAGCGATATGGAGGACGAGGGTCAGGGTGGGCAGAAATCTGTAAAACTCTCAGACATCTATTCCACCACCATCCCCAGTGTGGACAGCGCAGTGGAATCCTGGGACGGTTCTGCCATTGACGCCACCTTCAGCACCCAGGGTAAATTTGAGTGTGAATGGTTCTAATTATTATTATTTTCTTTTTGTACTTTTCACAAAATGCAATTAGCATTTCTACCTTTCAGCTTTTAGATAAGTTTTAGTGCAGTAAATAAGTCCCAGTACCCTCTGGGCAAAATATAATTGGAGCTACATTATTTCAGCAAAGCGACATGAACCGTCCCATTTGTTGAAATTTTCTGGCCAAAATTACTTTTGTAAATTGCTTCTGCCATTCAGAGGTTTCCAGCAGGCATTTCAGATTCTAATTGCAAACGAGAGCACGACATCTGTTTGGAAGGTTTCCGAAACGTGTTGTTACCTACCATTTCTCTAAGGTCTATAAACTTTTTTTCTTTTCTTTGACCCAACCCTTTATTGAGATTATATATTTATGTTTTTTTCCTTTTATCTGTGTTGTTTTATACATGTTAATCTATATTGTGCAATTTAATAATTTATATTTATTTAATTTGATTTATGTACTTTATATATTTTATAAGTTACAAATGGGGTGATTATTAAGTTGGGGTAAGGGGTAAAAACCAAAAAATGTCACTGTTAAAACTTTATTTTTGACTAACGTTGTTCATGTAAAAAAAAAAAAAAAAAGTTTCCGAAATGGTCAGTGACAACTATGTATCATTTTTGGTTTCCAGTGAATAACCGTAGAAATTATTTCAGTGGCCTCTAGCTCCAGGGCAATATTTAAAAGAAGAGTTTACTCAAAAATTTACATTTTAGCATCATTTACTCCTCCTCATGTCATCCCATGTGTTTTTTTTTTCTTCCATAAATCACAAAGGAAAGGTTTAGCAAAATCTAAAGCTCCGAAAAACTCATCATAGCACTTCAGTCTCATTGGCTCTTGCATATATTCAAATGAGACACATAATGTTGATTTGAATATTCGCAAATGTGAATGAGATTTAAGATCATATGACTTTTGAAGACTTGTAATATACCGGAAAAGCTGTGTGGATCACTTTAATGGTTCTTTTTATGTTCTATAGGGGGGGAGGGGGGGAACTCATTTGTTTTGGAATGACATGGGAGAGTAAATAATGACAGAATTTTTTATTTTATCGCAATGACATATACAGTCTTTTTTGACCTGGTATGGGTTCATCACGGTCCCCACCTGTTCTCGCACATTAGCTACAGCGCCAAGTTGCATCCTGGGGGATCGGTTGAGTCTCCGCAGGTCTAATGTAGGTTTAATTGAGTTTTCCATTCTCTTTGGACCAGCAGATATGTATTTACTCAAGTAATTATTTCAAGTAATCTGCATTGGGATATGTGTCTCTTATTAGGCCAGCTGGTGGTATAATGCTGGGGCTAATATGGAAAAATGTATTATTTTATTAAGTGGAAAATGAGTCCTAATGAGCGCTGGGATGCACATGGCCTTTTGGATAACTCGCCAGTAATGGGTTTGAATTGCAGTCAGCTCTCCTGACACTGAGGCCTCCTGGTCAAAACTAATCGCAATCATCGCTTGCACCGAGAATGCCAAGTAGGCCTCACACATTTCAATGTTTAATTCAGAGAAATGGTTTCTATTCATATATGAATAATACATGAATGGGCATTACTCCCACGCTCATGTATATAAGTGAAAATAGTTGCTGAAATAACAATGTTAATGGTCCACAAGGTTTAAGAAGACCATCTTAGTCTAGTATTTGTTGTCGAGTCATAGCCAATACAGTTTTGAACAGTCTGTGTGCAGCACTTCGTCTTTAATACCATGAGATTTTGGCCAAATGAAAAAACTGAGCGTCCAAATATTGCTACGGTAAACTATAATACCCTGTAAGTTGATGAAAACGTAATGTGATGAAATAAATGTGAATTACTAAATTCTCAGAAATTGGCTGGACAAAACCTTGAATGTGCCTTAATTTTTTTAAGCAATATCAATTTGCTTATTTTATAAGCAAATTTTAAAGCAAATGTAAACACATATGTTGTCATAACTTATTGTTATATTCTTACATATCATATACATTTTTTAGTGTACTTTTGGAAATGCGAATGTAGTTAAAAATATAATCTGATTCTAAATAAATTACCATCTGTCAGTCAGCGAAACTTTTTTCCTAATTCCCATTAATATCAAAATGTCATCAGTCATTTTTCATTTATAGAGAATTTATAGAATATTTATATATAATTTATCATTAATTCATCCCATTGCTGCTGACATACACCTCCTCAAAACCACCTTTCATCTCATGTTATTCTCCATGTCCCTCGCTCTGATGGGGTGGAAAGACGCTTTCCGCTCATGTTAACAGGTTCATATGGTTGCTCTCCTCCCCTCAGAAAGAGCCTCTTTCTCTCAGGGCTCCATACATAAATGAATCTCAGATGGTTGCAGAGATTGGGAAACCATTCGCAGGGAGCAGCAATCTGCCCCTTAAATTATGGATGTTGTGGAAGGAGCATAAATTCAAGGTTGCTGGCAATCTATCGGCCCTTATGGGATTCAACTAGTAAACAGCTGTATCCAGAGATAAGGCAAAAGCTGACTCTGAACTTGATACCTGGGATGAAAAGTTAAAGAAATCATGTGTCTTGCGTCTAATAAGATTAATAGTCTACCTGCATGCAATATTCAATCTTGCGGAGTAAAACATTTCTGTTGGGCTAAGCAGAAAGACTTACCAGACACCACTTAGCAAGAACTTATGTTAAAAAGTTAATAGTAATAATTGTATGTGTATATATAAATAGATATTTACACACGCACAGATATACTGTATATATGTGTGTGTGTTTATATATATATATATATATATATATATATATATATATATATATATATATATATATATATATATATATATATATATATATATATATATATATATATATATATATATATATATATATATATATATACACACTCACCGGCCACTTTATTAGGTACACCTGTCCAACTGCTCGTTAACACTTAATTTCTAAGCAGCCAATCACATGGCGGCAACTCAGTGCATTTAGGCATGTAGACATGGTCAAGACAATCTCCTGCAGTTCAAACCGAGCATCAGTATGGGGAAGAAAGGTGATTTGAGTGACTTTGAACGTGGCATGATTGTTGGTGCCAGAAGGGCTGGTCTGAGTATTTCAGAAACTGCTAATCTACTGGGATTTTCACACACAACCATCTCTAGGGTTTACAGAGAATGGTCCGAAAAAGAAAAAACATCCAGTGAGCGGCAGTTCTGTGGGCGGAAATGCCTTGTTGATGCCAGAGGTCAGAGGAGAATGGCCAGACTGGTTCGAGCTGATAGAAGGGCAACAGTGACTGAAATAACCACTCGTTACAACCGAGGTATGCAGCAAAGCATTTGTGAAGCCACAACACGCACAACCTTGAGGCGGATGGGCTACAACAGCAGAAGACTCCACCGGGTACCACTCATCTCCACTACAAATAGGAAAAAGAGGCTACAATTTGCAAGAGCTCACCAAAATTGAACAGTTGAAGACTGGAAAAATGTTGCCTGGTCTGATGAGTCTCGATTTCTGTTGAGACATTCAGATGTTAGAGTCAGAATTTGGCGTAAACAGAATGAGAACATGGAACCATCATGCCTTGTTACCACTGTGCAGGCTGGTGGTGGTGGTGTAATGGTGTGGGGGATGTTTTCCTGGCACACTTTAGGCCCCTTAGTGCCAATTGGGCATCGTTTAAATGCCACGGCCTACCTGAGCATTGTTTCTGACCATGTCCATCCCTTTATGGCCACCATGTACCCATCCTCTGATGGCTACTTCCACCATGTCACAAAGCTCTAATCATTTCAAATTGGTTTCTTGAACATGACAATGAGTTCACTGTACTAAAATGGCCTCCACAGTCACCAGATCTCAACCCAATAGAGCATCTTTGGGATGTGGTGGAACGGGAGATTCGCATCATGGATGTGCAGCCGACAAATCTGCGGCAACTGTGTGATGCCATCATGTCAATATGGACCAAACTCCCTGAGGAATGCTTCCAGCACCTTGTTGAATCTATGCCACGAAGAATTGAGGCAGTTCTGAAGGCAAAAGGGGGTCCAACCCGTTACTAGCATGGGGTACCTAATAAAGTGGCCGGTGAGTGTATATACAGGTCCTTCTCAAAAAATTAGCATATTGTGATAAAGTTCATTATTTTCCATAATGTAATGATAAAAATTAAACTTTAATATATTTTAGATTCATTGCACACCAACTGAAATATTTCAGGTCTTTTATTGTTTTAATACTGATGATTTTGGCATACAGCTCATGAAAACCCAAAATTCCTGACTCAAAAAATTAGCATATTTCATCCGACCAATAAAATAAGTGTTTTTAATACAAAAAAAGAGTCAACCTTCAAATAATTATGTTCAGTTATGCACTCAATAGTCAATACTTGGTCGGGAATCCTTTTGCAGAAATGACTGCTTCAATGTGGCGTGGCATGGAGGCAATCAGCCTGTGGCACTGCTGAGGTGTTATGGAGGCCCAGGATGCTTCGATAGCGGCCTAAAGCCTGTTTTATGCTTCTGCGTCGAATCGACGGTGTACCCCCGCAGACCTCTCTGCGTCGCCGCGAACCCCAATCCGACCCCTCCGCCGTAGCTCGACGTGCACCTCCAAAAAATTGTAACTACGCGTCGAGGCGACGCAGACCACAAGGGCTGTGATTGGTCAGATACATCATTTCGGGAGTGAAGCTTTTCCGGTTTCCCCCTCCCGCTATACCGCCATTTTTAAAGTGACCACTGCACTGTTTGTTTTAACGATATCAAGTTGAGGAACATTTGATTCTTCTGCGATTAAACATTTGCAATAAAATCATGTGTTGTTCAACGTCGATTAGCTCCAGCTGCAACAACATTCTCTCTGTTTCGCTCGCCATTAGGCTCGTTTCCATTACAGATTTGCGCAAAACTTTTGCGATTTTTTTCTATATGTCGATAAAAAACTATTGCGAAATGACGCCGTTTCCATTAACCGATGTTATGCGACTAAAACAGTTTTTTTTTTTCCTCTCGCCATAAGCCATTCCAAAAATTATGGTAACGGACGTTGGTAGGTTTAACGTTATAGCCTATATCTACTTTTATTCAAGACACAGAGGTTCAGAGACAACACAGTACAGATATAAATGTAAAAACAATACAAAACAATTAAGAATGATGCGGATGAGGCATCATTTATAGAAAACTGGCTTCGGGTACAATGTTTCCAAAAGCAAGATGCTATACCTTGTGTCACTATAGCCACCACACTAGACATTATTATTAAGGAGACGTGGTGTGTTATCCAAGCCTTGATGGCAGGGAAAGACACGGAGTTCTCCCTCATTTCTGCTCCGAGGTCTTGATTGTGGCATTTCTTTGAGGTTTAGATTCCAGTAGGCTATTCCTGTAATTGTTTCTTTTATGAATTTAATAAAGAACATCTCGTATTAATTCTAAACGGTCAATGTAGCCTACTTTTGGGTCCATTCGTTTTCCCTTATTTAACCCGTAATTGCAAAACGAAAAATGAACGGTTTATTATATTTTTTAAAACGCAAAGTTAAACACCAAAATTTTAATTTGAACTGTACACCAAATGCTGCGCAAAAAAAAAAAATATATATATATCGACGAATTTTAAGATAGCCTATATGTTTATGATTTTTTGCTCCTTTATTAAACATTTAAAATATTCACAAATTAATATGAAAAAAAAATGTAGATTTTACTAGTTTTCTAAGGCCAAATTAGAACCTGGAAATTATATTTTTCCCGCAGTGCTGAATGAGAAGACCATAACCACAACCTACAGAAAGGTGATTTATAGTAATAAATGTGTCTGAAAAATAACGAGGCGTTTTGTTTATTAATAAACTATTGTTTTCTAAATCAATGTCGGCTAAAAACATATCTCCATCTCCGGATGCACCTTTAGAGAGAAATGCACCTTTCATACGGATTACATAATCAGATGGTATTAGCTTTCGATTCGAATTTGTTCGTTTTAAAGTGGACATTTCAAGCTTTAGCCTACATAGGCGATATTTTGTTTCAGTTCTCGCGCTTCAGTTCACGGAGACCATGAAAGCGCGCCTGATTGTTTTATTTTATTTTACAAAACCACAACGTTTTCTTGTTATTGTGAGTTTACGCAAATAAAATTAGTTGCGAATAATGTATTATTATTTTCTGTATGACCAGAAATGATAGAGTATTTTAAGTTGTTTCCACTGTTGATAGGGAAATGCAACATTTCCCTATTTACCTACACCTTTCTGTAGGTAAATAGGGAAATGCAAGTGTTCGCGCCAGCGCGCCTATCCCTGCCATCCAGTGCGCGCTCCGCACAAACACTTGGATATGCGTCAAAATCTTGTGTTTATTTCTGATAATCTTAGCCCCGTATTATATTATTGTCCAACTTCAACCTGTATTTTGAATGAGATGTGACGAATTGCTTTGTACATTTTTTGGATAAAAGCGTCTTCTACATATGTAGCCTAATAAATGTTATAATATTGATGATAATTATTATTATTATTCGCGGACACGGACCCCAAACACACCGCGTCTTCTAAGTCAGGTGACTGTGCAAAACCTTCCATTGCAGTTTTGCTAAATATTCCTTTTTCGAATTGCCTGAAAAACCTCCTCATGCGAGCATAAAATCTTTTTTTTGCGATAAACGGGAGTTTATGCGAAATGGACGTGGTTCCATTGTGCGTATTTTCAATTCGCAATTTCAATTTGCGCAATTTGAAGGGTAATGGAAACGAAAGCGGAACCGGCGCACGGAACCAAAACAAACTAGCAAAAAGATTCGCGAAGCACACACCCCCCTAGCGTTCTGGCGGTGAAATACACCGCGATGCAACGCAACCTGACGCAGAACCATAAAACGGCCACGACGCCGTAGGAGTGACGGCGTAGCTACGCTGTGGAGTTGACGCAGAAGCATAATGAGGCCTTTAAGCTCATCCAGAGTGTTGGGTCTTGCGTCTCTCAACTTTCTCTTCACAATATCCCACAGATTCTCTATGGGGTTCAGGTCAGGAGAGCTGGGAGGCCAATTGAGCACAGTAATACCATGGTCAGTAAAACAATTTGCCAGGTCGTGCTGAAAAATGAAATCTTCATCTCCATAAAGCTTTTCAGCAGATGGAAGCATGAAGTGCTCCAAAATCTCCTGATAGCTAGCTGCATTGACCCTGCCCTTGATAAAACACAGTGCACCAACACCAGCAGCTGACATGGCACCCCAGAACATCACTGACTGTGGGTACTTGACACTGGACTTCAGACATTTTGGCATTTCCTTCTCCCCAGTCTTCCTCCAGACTCTGGCACCTTGATTTCCGAATGACATGCAAAACTGAGCAACAGTCCAGTGCTGCTTCTCTGTAGCCCAGGTCAGGCGCTTCTGCCGCTGTTTCTGGTTCAAAAGTGGCTTGACCTGGGGAATGCGGCACCTGTAGCCCATTTCCTGCACACGCCTGTGCACGGTGGCTCTGGATGTTTCTACTCCAGACTCAGTCCACTGCTTCCGCAGGTCCCCCAAGGTCTGGAATCGGTCCTTCTCCACAATCTTCCTCAGGGTCCGGTCACCTCTTCTCGTTGTGCATCGTTTTTTGCCACACTTTTTCCTTCCCACAGACTTCCCACTGAGGTGCCTTGATACAGCACTCTGGGAACAGCCTATTTGTTCAGAAATTTCTTTCTGTCTTACCCTCTTGCTTGAGGGTGTCTTACCCATGATTGCGGTTTTGAGTAATGAAACAGGCTGGGAGTTTTTAAAAGCCTCAGGAATCTATTGCAGATGTTTAGAGTTAATTAGTTGATTCAGATGATTAGGTTAATAGCTCGTTTAGAGACCCTTTCCATGATATGCTAATTTTTTGAGACAGGAATTTTGGGTTTTCATGAGCTGTATGCCAAAATCATCAGTATTAAAACAATAAGACCTGAAATATTTCAGTTGGTGTACAATGAATCTAAAATATATGAAAGTTTAATTTTTATCATTATATTATGAAAAATAATTAACTTTATCACAATATGCTAATTTTTTGAGAAGGACCTGTATATATATATAATATATTTTTCTAAAATATTATTTTAAATATTTTTTCTTTTCTTTTATCCCAGAATGCACTAAACGTAGTTTATGTATTACATTTTTCTATTCTACCCATTTTATTTATTTGGCATATTTTGTACCCTTTCTACAGTATGTAGTTAGGGGTATTGTTAATAAATCATTTCTATTGACTTTTGTACAATTAACAAAATTGATGGCAAAACCAGCTACTGAATTACTTGTTTTTTCAAGATAACCTGTTACGTCTGTCTTATTTGTTGGGGCCTTTAGAAAGCAAGGCATAAAAATAGCAATGCAATATTACAATATAAAATAACATGCTTTATAACAGTCATTATTTGTGACGTTTGGTGCCACTATGACCTCCTCTGCACTGTTTCCTTGTCTTTCTCATTAATTAGCATTGTGCACTTTTCCATGCACAAGATTTCTCACAGCTTCTATTCCATATTGAAAAATCATTGGACCATTTTAACCCTGTTTCAAGACATCGTTGCTGGTTTTGTTTGTCTTTGTCTGCACAACGCGAGCAACATCATTAGCATGCAGCTGCGCATGTGCAGTTTAGAGGGATATTAATTCCAGCATGTCATCATTCAGCATATCCAAAATTTCTTTCCTTGAATAGGGGACATAACTCCAAAATAGCTATCGAGAGTCTTATTAAGGATTCCTCCACCTTCTCGAGCCCTGAGGGGTGAACAAATCACAAGCAGTTAATCCTTATTGAGTTGCTGTTGAATCTTAAAACCCTGAGGCTATGCAGCGCTTTGCGGTGGTCGCCGAGGGAGAATCAGACCAAAGCGTATAAAACACAATGGCGTGACTCCCTCCGGAGAGGAGTGTGTGAACACAGCTAGCATGTTGTTCTCCACTCTCCCTATAGTCCTCACCCTGCCCTCCAGCAGCCTTGAGCCAGATTAATGAGCGGAGCCTGGGAACCCGTCCATCCAGGAGCTCCTGCGCCGGTGTTGTGTGAGAGTGCAGCTTAATGCAGAAATGTACTCTTTCTTCTGGGAACCGTTTATTGCCACTGCTTTTTTCTCACTCTCGTTTACAGTCAAATTGATTTATCAGCAGGCTAATACAATAACACTTGCCAAATGCGAGTAACGTTGTGACCCTCGTCAGTTGGCTAGCAGGAACATAATGCATTTTGTCAAAGAACTTTTATTTATTTATAGTAATTATACCATGCTGGTTATTTTTATTTCAATGCAATAATTTACCTTGAATTTAGGTAAACTATCTCGTTGTCGTAGTTATAATAATATTAATTTTTTTCAATGGAATTATTTAGGTATTTTATCCAAACTGATTTTTTTTTTAAATAATAAACATACAAAATACAATTTCAAGAAATATTTATGGGTAGTACATTTCTCAATTATCTGCTATTGGCAAAAGTGGCAAAAAAAAGTTAATTTTGGACTCTGTTTGTGCGTGTTTGTTTCAGCTCCCACGGGTTTCCAGGCATCGGGCTACAGTTTCCACAGCCATGAGTGGAGGAATGCCAAGCCCAGCCAGGGCAGCCTCTCCCCGGTCAACAGCAGCCGGCAGAGGAACAACATCCTGCCAGACTTCGTACTCGGTGTGGATGAATGGGACAGGCCAAGCGCTAGCGGGTACGTCAACATACTGCCTTTAAACTATACTTAGTCGTTTAAATTCTCATTGCAGCATATATAACGAATCTTCATTTTGTAGGAATAGTTCACTATGCGCTCACCCTCAAGTCGTTCCAAAACCATATGCTATTATTTTTTTCATGGAATATTTTTTTACCTTGACCATTGTGTGTGTTCAAGATCTTCTTCAAAGATTCTTCTTTTCTGTAAGGGGAGAAACAAATCATACAGGTTTGGAATAACATAAAATAATGGGAATTTTCATTTTTGGGTGAAATATTAAGTATATATTAAGGCCGCCCGGTTTATTAGATGGTTAATGTGATGTCTTGAATTCATTGGATGCATTTTATACTACATTAGCAAAGTACACAAGACTTGAAAATAGAGTGAAATAGATTGAACTTTTCTGCCATTGCAGACATTAATATTCCATAAAAGTTATCACCTCTTTATTACCCTAGAAATTAAGTACTGAAGTGTCAATATCCGTTGAATCATGGACTAGTTTAGAGCCAGACTGTACAGAAAGGTATTGTGTGAAGGCAATGCTTAACGGCATCTATTAAAATGTTTTGTTGACTTCTCAAATTCATTAAATCCAAAAGACAATCTCAGACGAGACCATCAGTACAATTTTTAAGAAGTGAACTGACTTTAATATTCACATTAAGTGGGTTTTCAGTGTGAAATAGTCTTTGTTTCAACCTAAAATGTGACTCTCAGTCATAATATTAACTCAGCTGTGCGGTACATTTGCAGCACATTGTATTGTCAAAAAGACTGTTACTGGAGCTTTGATCGATCACTTTTGGGGTGATTCTACTTTATTCTTTGTTAGCTCGTGCTGTTGAATATTTGTAATTCAGATTCATTGTGCTGTAGATCAAAGGCTTAAAGGGCCCCTGTGTGCAGTAATGAAGCCAGCGGCTCTTGGGAAGAAAGAAGGCCTTTTTAAAGTATTTAGCTGACACTAGAGTTATGATCACCCTTTGAGGTTTTGTCTCAGGATTGTACAGTTTCCATTTAATGGTGACTGTGCGCTGCCTTAAAGTTGACCTCATTTACGTGGTTTCTTAATACTCATCCCGGGTCTTATTGTGCCAATTTTTCCACAATCCAGTTCAAAATCAGGGTTATAGGAATGACCTGAGAAGTGGACACATTATAAATCAGCCTGGCTCATGAATATTAATTATCTGGCATAACTTTCATCCAGCAATTGTAATTGATTGGCTAAATAGCACACTATGGCTAAGCAAAACAAAATATATACACTACCGTTCAAAAGTTTGGGGTCAGTGAGATTTTTATTTTTTGGAGGAAAGAAATCAATACTTTTATTTATCAAGGACAGTAAAGACATTTATAATGTTACAAAAGATTCTATTTCAAACAAATGCTGTTCTTTTGAACTTCCTATTCATCAAAGAATCCAAAAAAAAAAAAAAAAAAAAACTGTACAACTGACAGACCAACAACTGTTTCAACATTGATAATAATAATAAATGTTTCTTGAGCATCAAATCCTCATATTATACTGATTTGTGAAGGATCATTTGACACTGAAGACACTGACACTGGTGATGCTGAAAATTCAGCTTTGATCACAGGAATAAATTACACTTTACTATATATTCACACAGAAAACAGCTGATTTACACTGGAATAATATTTAATACTATAACTGATTTTTGTTGTATTTTTAATCAAATAAGCGCAGCCATGGTTAGCAGAAGAGAATTCTTTTAAAAGTATTTAAAATCGTACCGACCCCAAACTTTTGAACGGTAGTGTATATACGATAATTAATTTTAAAATATAATGATATTTCTGAACATTTTGGGAAATAATTATATATATATATATATATTTTTTTTTTTTTTAAATCATATTTTAGTAGTTGCAGTGCCTCTATTTTTTGTTTCACTCAAAAATATGTTGTATTATGGATGGGAGAAAAATGGGTTGTGAATGCTATTTCATGTTTGTCAATTTTAGGAACTATAACAAATCATCTGGAAAACATGTCTATATCTCAAATACTCTAGCAATACAGAATAAATAAAAAATGCTCGGAGAAGAAGAAACAACCTGTACTTTCATGCATTCAGTCTTTTCAAATATTGTCAGCATTCAGCATGCAGTCTGTATTTAAATCAAATCTGTACAATGCAAAACTTCCCCCATCTTCTCCAACACGTTTTTCTTTGTCGTTTGAGAGTGGTGGTAAAATGCTTTTTAGACGAAGGCGCTCAAAATGTGTTATGTACAGGATGTAAAGGCTAAAACACCGCTGTTAAAAAGTGACAGACTGAGTGATCTGGTTTGACTCTATACCCATGCCGTTTGTGTTATTGATTGAAGCTGATCTCCCATTACAGGGCATCCACGCTCCCCACCGGTTTAATCTCAGACAGCAGGTGAGGGTCAGTGCTGTGTGCCTGTTAACCTGCACTGCTTCCCCAAACCAATCCGGCCCTTTCACTTCATAACCCAAAGCCCCACAATCCACCAGGACATCACCGCCTATCACAGTGTGTCCGACCGCACGGGGTGTGTCTGTATGTGTCTCTCTTCAAGAGCCCCACCATAGCCTGCACAGATCATTGGTCCTCCCCTGCGTTCATCACTGTTACACCTGCCTGCTCATTGGCCGCTGTAGTTTTCACGTACTCGGCGGTTAAAACGTCCCATTGTGTTTCAAACAGGTTTACAGTGGGGCACGATGGGACGGAGCCAGACCAGGAAGAGAACTTCTGGTCCCAAGCGCTCGAAGACCTAGAGACGTGCGGCCAATCCGGGATCTTGCGAGAACTTGAGGTAACTTGGGAAGAAAAATGCCATCCGTTTTGTGTCCATTTCCCTCTCCCCACGTTCACCCGTTAGCTTTTTCCATTCATCAGCCCCCCTACACAATCTTTTTTCAGTAGCATGCAGTACCAACCCTTGTTTTGTGTAACAGCTCCTTCTTTTTCCAGGACAAGCCAGACAGGCTTCTGAATAAGAGAAACCTGGCCATCTTGGTACCTCTTTCTTTCCTTTGGGCTTCCTCTTTGCTTGTAGCGCTGGCACCCAAGTGCTCTCGTCGTGCTAATGGGCTCAGTGTCTCTTGCTGGGGGCCTGCTTGTAGGGGAAGGGGAAGGGGAGTGGGAGGGGGGATTCGCAGACAACCACTATTGGCATCCACTTCAGATCCTGGGGGTGCATTCAAAACGCATTATGATGTGTTAAAGGTGTCGTTCACCCAGATTCTGTCTTCATTTAGTCACAATTATGTTGTTCCAAATCATAAATCTCTTTTATGTTAGGAATAGGCACTGAGTAATTTTGTAGCCACATTTTTTATTTTAAATAAATAAATAGTTGATTTTCATTTTTGAGTAATGCAAGTTTAAATATACTTTAAAACTAGGAAATTTCACAACTGTAATTTCCAGGCCTGGAAAAAAATCTCGGACATTATTCAAATTAATAATTTATTTAAATCATAATGAATTTTTTTTTTTTCGCAGTTATGCTCATTGGCCAGAAATTGCTCTTGTAAGTGAAAATTATTTCTAAAAATCTTTATCCAGTCACTGTAAACATGGGTTATTTTATTGTTTCTAAATGATCAATTAGCTTTTATTTTTATATTCTCGGTTTTCATTTTAATGCCTTTGAAAATATTTATAATTAACGGTTTAAATATTTCTATTTAGCTTTAAATTATTTTTATTTTAGTTTTAGTAATTTTATTACTGCTTCATCATAATTATTTTATTTCATTTATTTGCCAAGGCAACATTAAAGATGAACTGAACTGAAAAAAATCGACGTTGATAACGTGTTATTTATGACAATTAAAAGTAAATTATGCTAAAAATGTATTAGAAATATCAATATAGCTTTTTCTAAGCAACACAAAAGTTTAACCTTTACATCTAAAATGTATATTTTGTTTCAGCTTTATTACTGAAATAAGGATTAATAGTTTGTTTTAGTTAACAATAACAACACTGCTTGAAACGATCATTACATCAACAGTAATTTTCTTCAAAAACCTGTTTTTCTTTTGAAAAAAAAAATTAATGAACAATATGCATCAATACTAACGTGTTTTTGTAAAATAACGATTTAAAAAGCATTTGCACTCACTCTGAGCTCGCAAGGAAACCCATTTGAAAACTAGGTTGTCGTCATTAGACTAATGAACAAACTAGTCTATTTTAAGGCTATCACATTGCTGTTGTTTCACATGATTTTATTCAGAAAAACAAGTGGTGAAAATCTTTGCCTGTTAACAGCAAGGCCTGCGGTGAAGAAAATGTTCTCTGACGGCACAGGGACACACTGATATCGGTCTGAGCGTCTCATTGCAGTTCTTCCCACCATAAAGCAGATCCTCATCTTGTGGGATGCATGACTCTAACGAGACCTGAATATTCCATTAAGAATCGAAATATTGCCACACTTGGCTCTGCCTGAAAGTACACGGCAGTATCTCTCATCAACATCATGTATTCTCGCACACATCATGTTCAGCTGTAACAGTGACATTCAGGTGAATAGTGTTTTTACTACCGGTAGTCAACTTTTGGTCCCTCATACAAAACTATCGTTTGGCTTCAGAAGACTTTCATGTGGAAGAAATAAGTCAAACAGGTTTGGAACAACATTAGGGTCTGTAAATAATGGCAGAATTGTTTTTTTTTTTTTTTTGGTGAACTATCCCTTTAAATACTATATAAGACAAAAAAAAATGTAAAAAGAACTTCTTGGAAAAGGGCTTTAGTCTGCTGTTAATTGCATTGTATTTTTTGTCAGTCACAGTAGATAATATCTGCTGTCATGTCACACAATGGTGCAATTGACATGCTTTGTGGCTAGCCTTGAAACGTTTCATGAAAGTAGATTGATTTTCTTGCCTTTGCTTTATCAGGTACCTCGAGTTAAACCCAGACCACACGTAGCCGTCAGCGCAGAGAAGCTTTTAGTAGTCAAAGTTAGGGATCGCTTTGAAAGCTCTTCACTTTCCATCCCACTTGTCTGTGGAAACACGATAAAATCAAAAGCCTTTTACGCTGAATGTACCCTTTGGCCTCAATTGGATTCGATGAAAGTGTTTGCCTTTGGTTTGTGTCAGTAAAATGTACTATTGAGCTCGGAACGGCCCGAAAAACATTGTACGAAAAGTACACGTTTTCATTTTTCACATGCTGAATTGATCAAATGTTATGTCAAGGTGCATGATTACATGTCTGATCACTGGTTTAATGATTTTTTACACTGCTTACCACAAATGCATCGGCTTAGGCCCCGTCCACACTACTGCGTTTTCGTTTAAAAACGGAGACCTTTTGCTACGTTTGCACCTCCCGTCCACACTAAAACGGCTTAAACGGAGAAGTTTAGAAACGCTGCCGATCCGTTTTCCGTTTTGAATCTCCGGAGGGCGTTTTAGTGTAGACGGGTCAAAACGGAGGACTTTAGAAACGATGACGTAGTAGAGGCTCACGCTCGGCTCTATGATTGGGTGTCATCAGTCATGGCGTTCTGCAATGCAATTCTGCATTTTACAACGCTATAACTGCCTACTTGCGCCGGAGTCAAGCTATTATTCCAGCGATCTGTGTCAATTCCCGTGTGCAGCGGCGGCGCTGACCGTACATGGAGCCTCAATTTTATCAATGAAGTTGTGTTTACACCGGCACGTGCATGCCCAGTGTTGGTGAATGGTCACGTGATCCGCGTTTTCAGTCGTTTTAATGTGGACGGAGATCAATTCTAATACGCAGCTAAAACGCTGGTGTGGACGGAGATCGTATTCGTTTTAATTATCCGTTTCTAAACTAAAACGCAGTAGTGTGGTTGGGGCCTTAGAAGAGTTTTCTGTGTGGTCACCTGTCATTAACCTGGAATCTCCATTCCATGCAGTTTGAGTGAGATTCACACAAACTAGCAAATGACGGTGGATTGAAAGAACGAAGGCATGTGGGCTCATGCAAAGCATGATGGAAGAGCTGCAGCAAGGCTTTTGTTGTGAAAATATTTCAGTATTGTGTAGTAGTGTCCCCAGTAAAAAGTCTGAACCAGGCTTTTTTTTGAAGATCATCTTCAAAGGACTCAACGAAACATCTAAAAACTGCCCACCGTTCATTACGTTTAATCATTGCCATGGCTTGCCATGGTGGAAGTCAAAGCGGTTCAAACCGTCCCATTAGTGTGTAAAAATGCATGTTACTATGAGTTTGTGTATCGTTGTCCATCAGCATTTTGCTTCTTGTAACACACTAAACAGGAATTGTAACACAAACTGTTAACAAAATGCTTAGAATGTCACCCTTTGTACTGTAACTGTTACACTTAATTTCACTGACAATGTAATTTCCGTTCAAAAGTATGGGCTTGGTAAGAATTTTTTTTTTTTAATGTTTTTGAAAGAAGTCTCTTATGCTAACCAAGGCTGCATTCAGTTGATCAAAAAAAAAAAAAAAGGTAATATTGTGAAAGATTACTGCAATTTAAAATAACTTTTCTATTTCAATTTATTTTAAAATCTTATTTATTCCTGTGATCAAAGCTGAATTTTCCGCATCATTACTCCAGATCCTTCAGAAATCATTCTAATATGCTTTTATGGTGCTCTAGAAATATTTCTTATTATTATCAATGTTGAAAACACCTGTGCTGCTTAATACTTTTGTGCAAATGTTACATGTTTTCAGGATTCTTTAATGAAAAGAAAGTTCAAAAGAATAGCATTTATTTGAAATGGAAATCTTTTGTAACATTGTAAACACCTTTACTGTCACTTTTGATCAATTTAATGCATCCTCGCAGAATTAATTTCTAAAAAAGAAAAAATCTATTTGATCCCAAACTTTTGAACGGTAGTGTACCGTATACTAAACTTAATTCATAAAGTGTGTTTTGAGTGCATTTATCTGTATAACCTTCTCATCACTTATATTTACTCGTACTCAGCTCAGTTTCTCATGGTTTTCCCTGTAGGCCACCATCATGTCGGGCAGCTCTTTAAGTCTAAACCACGACCCTGCGCCCACCCGAAGCCATCTGGGCCGTCAGGCCAGCTTTCAGGAACGTGGCAGCAACAAACCACAATACACACAGGCAAACCGCAGCAACACCCTTCCCACCGACGTCGGCAAAAAATCGTTCTCCATGAGGAGAATGAAGCAGGAGATCAAAGACATGTCACCTACCCCAGTTGAGCTACATAAGGTGGGAATACTGGTCTTTTGGTCATTTCTCGATTCCATTATCGTTATACAGCAGGTTTAATGTGTGTAACTGCTCCCACATTCCCAGATGAGTCTGTTGAAGGACTCAGATCTTGAGGACTTTGGGTTTAGTGTGTCTGATGGGGTCCTGGAGAAGGGGGTTTATGTTAACAATATCCGTCCGGCCGGCCCTGCTGAAATCGGAGGCCTGAAGCCATACGACAGACTGCTACAGGTGAGCCACTGTGATGCAGTCCCGCTAAATTATGGGACACCAAGTACATTAGAAATTGTACCTCTAAATGAGATAAATTTGTTCTTGCTTTGTGCCACAGATAAACCACGTCCGGACTAGAGACTTTGACTGCTGCTTAGTGGTTCCTCTCATAGCAGAGTCCGGGAACAAACTGGATCTAGTCATAAGCCGGAACCCAGTTTCCTCGCTGACCTCAGAACTGAACCCATTGGCCAATGACGAGGCTGTGAACTGGACTGACTCCGGGGACCCTCTCGAGCAGCCCGCTGCAGGGCTGGAGCGGGGCCAGCACAACTCCACGCTAGCGGGACTAGAGGACAGAGACCCCAACAAGACCTTATAGCAGAACTCTTCCAAGGTGCCTGCAATGGAGCGCTCCTCCTCATGGTGCTAAAGCAAACCCTCCCCTCCCTAAACGGCTCCCTCTAGTGGAGGAAAACGAGGGGCTTGTTGTCCTTTAGCACACACCCAGTCCCTTTCCTAAGTCAGAGCATGAACCACCGTGACTGAGAGGTCCTTACCTGACACGCTGGGTGTGTTTTTACCCTGTGAAAAAGGCGGCGAAGACCACACTGACCTCTTGGAAAACCAAATTGTGAGGAAAAGAAAACCTGAAACAGTGCCATCCCTGATTTTTATTGCCAATAAACAAGAATAGTTTTAAGGACAACTCAAAAAAACACAAAAAAAAAGAAGCAAAAGATGCATAAAAGCAACACTGAGACTTTTACTTATGATATCGGACTGGCCACTCTGTGATCGTCCGTGTTTGTGTGAGTTCGAATGTGTGTGTGCGCGCGTGTCCCGAGACTTTATTTCCCAAGCCTCCACGAAGTCTGTCAAAGTCCCACATCCGAAACACAACCGTCGACCCTCCTATTTTTGTGATACTAAAACACAAGTGTGCGTATAGTGTATGTCCGTGTATTTCCTTCTATCTGATGCCAAGGTCAGAGCTGGTCCCTTTTCTTGCTCGACAAGAGAGGATAAAGCTGTGTGTAGGGGAAAAAAAATAATCAGCACAATGAATTCGGTAGCCATTTTTCAATTGTGACTGAATGTGGGTTATAGCCTAATGCATGAGACCTTTTAATAAACTATTTTGTAGTACTTCTGTCCAAAAAAACAAGAGCTTGGCTACATGAAAAACACCATGTTTTGGTTCTCTTTTCACCGCAAATATGAAATCCTATGTCACTCATAAGGAGAGGGTGGCACAAAGGCACCTTATCTTGAAATTGGATAGATGTCTATTTTTATGAATCGAGGCGGATGATTTATAAGGGATGTGTGTGATTTTGAGCGGTGGCTGGCTGGTTAGCATTAGGTCACTATCGACCATGTACCGGAGCAGATTGATGGCACGAAGAAGGTCATTCGGTTCGGAAACTCTTTGTACTTTGTTAGGTAACCGCCGTAGGTCTGCGGTCTCCAGACTCTCGGCCCACTTTTTGAGGAAATCCATCATTGGCCCAAAGGATAGAACAGCTTATTTATTCCGACATCAATCTCGTAAACGAAAACGACAGCCGTTCAAGTAGGTACTCGCATATTGTTTACTCCGCTGTCTGTGATAAATGAGACTATTTCGACGAACAAATTCATCTCATTCGCTTAAATTTGCAGTACCCACTTATGACAAAAACACGAGCATGGGGTTGATGTCCATGAGAAAAAAAAAATCCTGAAAAGACTTTTGTATTCCTCCCACCATTGTTTAAATAGTTATAAATCATTATGGTGATTTGTATATGGTACTGTTATGGTTTTATGTCTCATCTGACATTTTTTTTCCAGACTGTGTAAGCCCAAAGGGTGCGCAATTCGTTTGTAAAGAGAAAAAAAAATCGAGTGTCAAATCATGAGAATGGGTTTTTCCTACCGTATGTGGTAGACCACTAAACATCACATTTGTAGCTCTGTTTGGAGAAAAAAATGACATTAGTAAAGAAAAAAATGCCATGGGTAAGCTGCTAATGGCAATGAAGAGCCTCACCCACCTGTGTGAAACTGTGCTTTTGATGAGTGATGTCACCCTCGTTTGTCAGTGCTCAACGATCCTGTCTACTCACTATTTTCAAATGGCACATTGTGGTCCAACTACTGAACCGAACAAAAACCCCATCAAGCCCACTTGATGGAGAAAGTTTACCGATGATGAAAAGGTGTCTTTATTTGTTGTTCTATTTCAGATAAACCTTCAGGTACGGGTTCATTCCCCAAACTCATGCACTGAGCAACTCACTGAGATGTTTCTCAAATGCATAAACGCTACATGTTGAATTATGGTTCTCAAGGCCTGATTCAAGAGTTAGTTGTCACTTTCATTGCAACGCTTTCCTTGACCTCGACTTAAATTTGTCAACACTTCACTGTGTTCCTGCGAATACACTGGTCAAGTGAAAAGAAGAAAAAAAACAACTCATTTTTGTGTTACATTTGTGGAAACGTTTAGTGAAGTCAAGCACTGCCAGTTAAAATTAGTGGGTGTCCATTTTCAGTATACGATGAATTTGATTCAATGTCAGTTATGTCCCTGAAATATTGTATTTTTATTTCTAATGGACAGGTATTATGAGCTGTAAAGTATTTTTGTACAAATTTAATACTTTGTTAGCATGATGTTTATCGTCTATGTATAAATTTGGGGATTCCTACAGCTGTAATCCTTTGTATGGCCGACGAACAGAGAAACAATAAAACGACATACTGAGTGGAGAGATGACACTGAAATGATCTCATGTGATACTTTGACGCGGGTACTTTATACGAGGTGCTATTTGAAGATTCCCTTCCACGGACATTGATATAATTGTAAAGGAATAAATAACTGGCTAGAGCTGCATGATTCTGGATGAATTGAGAATCACATATTTTTTGTTTCAAACAGAGATCACGATTTCCAAAATAACATGTAATTTACTAAAAGTTCTGACAAAATGTTAATTGCTGTAGTCTATTTCAAATATTTAATTTGAATTTGAATTATTTTAAAAACTCAGTTTGAGTGAATGATTCAATGGCTCATAAATACACTTACTGAATGAATGATTCAATGACAAATAAATTTTTAACAGTCTCGTCTCAACCTGGTGGCAAAAGACGTAATCGATACAATTGTTATTTGAAGCGTCATGTTACTTTAAAAAAGGTGATTTGCTCAGTGTTTTTATCCAAACTATATATATTTTATTCCAGTACTTCTGTGATAATATGGTCATGTAACAGAAATAATGATACTGTGTGGTGTGTGAAGCTGTTTCATACCTACACACGACAACTTCTCTCTGTAGGTCAGAACGCAGATCTGAATGTTCATTGTGATCATACTTGTCAAAGGTTTAATAGACAGAGCCGAATTGCGATCTTTTAACGATTAATCATGCAGCTGCATCTGAAATCGGCCCTATATCCTCATTCACTATTCTCTTCATTACTCCACTAATTTAGTCCACTGAATAAGTGAATAAAAACTAATAAGTGTGCCAGAAGTGCTGCTTACACCATCTTCTGGCGAGATGTTTGGCTCGACACTCGCAGTGCATGGGCAGACATTGGCTTTGCACTCATTATTAAGGTGTATTATGGGATTGAATGAGTGTACTCAATTTACACTATGGTTCTGGACACCACTACAAACAGCTGTCCCTTAAATAGTCCACAAGGCTCTATAAAAGTATATAGGGGGTGGACACAGCCTCCACATTGTTTTTCACACACTAAAACACGTAATTTCCTGTGAATGTGCAAGACTTCCGATACATTAGCCGCTATAAGTAAATAACTAGAAGAATAAAGTCCAGTAAACGGCAAAACTATTCACGCTACAACCTAGCATGTTTTACGAAAATGAATTAAAATATGCAGAATACAAGACAGTTACAATATATGGCCGAAATTTGAAACCTTGCAATGGTGCATTCGATGTCCACTCACACGCAAGTACTGGGGGGTATTCCAGAAAGCAAGGTTATCTTACCATCAAACATACCCTAAACTCTGTTGATTAACCCAAACCTTGCTTACTCAAGGTATGCTGGTTCCAGGACTGAGTTCAGTCAATCTGGAGTATGTTAACGGTTGACACCATAGACCGTAAAAGAAATGGACACAGCGACCCCATAGACTTCAACGGAGAAAAGTAAAGTCAATTAGAAGCACTCACTTCCTGATGGCTGAGCGTACTGCGCAGGCTCAAACTGAGCTTGACGATGTAGATGTGACGTGAGCAACCTGTCTGACAGTTGTAAGTGTTCTAGTAGCTGTGCCATGAGGAATCGGAATCATTCCCTTCCGAATCTTGCAGAGCCGGAGAGCGTGAGCAGGAGCTGTTCATGAGCTCGCAGCAGGAGCGACTTAATGACTCTCTATGGGCTTCTCCCTCGACTTTATGCCTCCACATCCCCCCAATTGCCTGTGAGCTTCTCCTGTCTATACGGTAATTTCTCTACTGTGCGACAGAGAGTCGCGTGTTATGACGCAATCGTTAGCCTATTTTTACAAAAACTGCTTCTACGGGGCCATAACGTAAGATACAAGGTAATGGAGCCTTTTACATTGTTGAGTTTCCTTAGAAATAAACAATGGACAAATGGAGTCTTTAAATGCCTCAGATGTAAAGTTATTCGATGTCAAAGTGGCGCCAAAATGAATGGGAGTCAGTGGAATGCTAACAGCAGGTGAAGGGCTTGCTAGCCAATGGCGGCCCCCAGGCAGACTTTAGTTTCCGGCTGGTGGATTATCCCCTTGGTTGACACACACTCCACATTCTCAACAGAGCGGCGAATCGACAAGTCACCATGGAAACGGACGCTAAGAAAAAGCGTGCCATACTATTTATTTCTTCTTTTGTTCAATGGCAATTTACATAGGCCTACTTAGTGCATATTCCACCTATTTAGTGGTTGTGGAATCATTTTTCAATATTTTCATTTATTAATCTTTAATCACTGTGAACAAGAACTACATTGTTTGTTTGATGCCAATTGTATAATAAAAGAAAAACTGATTAAACTAAATAAGTCTGTGCTTGCAAAGATAACATGGCTGCATAAGTTTATTTTTTATCTTTAGTCATTTTGCTTCCACATTGCTTTAAAAGTAAGATATATCATGTTTTCTTTAGAAATCCATTTATAGGGGTGACATATAGCCTAATTAATATCGATATAACATATATGATATTGTGCGCAATCTGTTATGCCCACTGGAGCCTTATCAATAGGGCACGCATGGGCTGAACACCTCTGAAGTAAATAACCCTGGAACAGAACCTGCTCCGAAGCATATAATCACCCTCTATATAAGGGCAGGGGCGTAATTTGTGGGGGGGATGGGGGGGATATAACCCCCCCAATATTTAAATCTATGCATTACAACCCCCCCATTATTTATACCATGATCACAATATCAGGAGGCATACCCAAACTTCAACCCCCCCAATGTTCAAACCAAATCTACGCCCTTGTATAAGGGTATATATACGAGGTGATTTCAGACACAGCCTCCACCTTATTTTTGGCAAGATTTCTACCTCCGGCAAGAATGCGATATCTACCGAGGGGCAGGGGCTTAGCTACGTGCCACCCCCGTTGTGCAAGAATTTTGACTTTTTTTCCGTTCAAATAAATGACACTAGCACAAAGGTCATGTACAAACTCCAGCTGAACTAAGTTGTCACTTCACCTCTTAATATGGAAAAAATAACAAGCCCAAAGATGCATTTAAGTGGACATGGCAACACTGCAACTATGCGCTTGGCGAAAGCTTTACGAGCATAAACAAACACAAACAGCAGAGCAAGACAAGAGCTCAACGGTCAAACACTTCCATCAAGCGCATGTTTACACAGAAAAAATACAGAAATCTAGTGCAATGGAATGGAAGGAAAACTTAAGGTTAGCGCAACAAAATGAACAAATATATGGCATGGTTATACACGCTCGCTCACAGTATTTAAATATACTGTGATAGCACAAATAAATGTGCAGCGTCTGCATTTGTACACTGTAAAGAAAATATAAATGAACAAGCAGTTGCATTTTTAATCACTTTTGAGACTTATTTTGTGTGGTTTACTAATAATTATTTATTTGCTGTTTGATCGGTAATGGCTTCTCAAGGTGCTCTACCGGTTTCACTACAGTATAAATGGATCGCGTTTGTGTCAGAGACTCCTTGCCTATGGAAAAGAATTTATGCATATTTGCGCTATACCACTGGTTTTCAACCAAAATCCAACACATCTGAACAAGCTAATCAAGGTCTTCAGGATTACTTAAAAGTTGCAGGTAGTTGAGTGTAATCAAGGTCAGAGGTCAACTCTGCAGGACAGTGGCCCTCAAGGGCCAGAGGTGAGAACCCCTGCTCTATGCATTTACCATATATGTTCACAACAATCCTCAAAAGTTCTGTATGTATTTTTTTTAACTGTACTAAAGCATAAAAATTAGGGGTGTAATGATACACGTCACGATTCGATACACAATGCTGAACTCATGATACGATATTATTGCGATACTCCAAGACCTATGGTAAAAGGTTAACAAAAAATTATTTTGATTAAAATGCTAAATGTGGTATTACATATGACTTAGTGCAGGTAACTCAATACACAAGACAATGGTGACACCAGAATAAAAATGAAAGTACAGAATTATTTTAGACGAACATGCTTGCACTCTGTCACTGACTAGATACATGTAAAATTTTACATGAAATTTTTTACAATTTAAATGTAGGCCACTTTTTACTGGTAACATAAGACATTTACCCTAATAAAAGTTCCATAATATTACGGGTGTGATGAGATCTCGCGATATTAAAATGTGACAAGATTTCTAGTCTCGTGATATCGCCATGACGGAGCGTGGGGGTGAAATTAGCATAGAATATGCCACCGCTACGTTTACATTACGGTGATCCACAGCGGCACTGCCTCTACTGTCGTTTTGCTTTTTTTATAGAAATAAAAAAAGAATTATTCGGTTGGATAACGGTTGCTTCAATTGTAAACTTTTGTTAACGTCTGCTCTGCTCATCCAGCACGAGCTGCAGAGTCGTTCAGCAGGAATCACAGTTCACTGATCCCACAACTAAACTGACAAGATCATGGCGGAGGATTCGTTGCGCAACAGAGCCTAAGCTTCAGATAAATGTCTTGTAGAATGTGCGCTCAGTACTGCTGCTCCCCATACACAGTATGTGCGATCGCGAATTCGAATATCACCCAATATCAAACATATCTTAGGCTGGGCTGTGTAATTGTAACCACCTCTTAGATCTGGTCTCTGTTTGCACTTTGAATTTTGAGAGAGTACGTTGATTATGGTTGCACTTCTTGTTTGCACTTAATAAGACTGAGAAATGTTATTTCTGTATTCAATTTGTGGAAAGGAGTTCAATTACGTCGTCACACACAGCCTCAATCAGAAGTTCTGGAAGCTCATAATTCATGTACAGTAAGGTCTGAAGAGACCATAGACAGTAAAAGAAATGGACACAGCGACCCCATAGATTTCAACGGAGAAAGTTGAAGCCCATAAAAGCACTCACTTCCTGATAGCCAAGCGCACTGCGCAGGCTCAAACTGAGCATGACGACGTAGAGGTCACGTGAGCAACCGTTCTGACCTTCTAGTAGCTGTGCCGAGACAAATCTGAATTGAAATCTGAAACAAATCTGTTGTTTAAATATTTTGTCCCGTTGCTTTTATGAACTCTCTATCTATGGGCTTC